TTAACATTACCCATTTTATCTGCTTTTGATATATTTGATAATGCACTGTAATATATTATTTAAGATCTAATTCAGTATTACATAATATTGAAAGTTATATGGGTGTCATTACTGTTACCAAAATCAGACTTCAGAATTTTGGTGACTTCTTGGTACAAAGGACTATAATTATCATAATCATATATGTAACAATAGGACTTCTAGTCCAATAGTTCTAATAAACCTGGTTGAAGAAGTTAGGGCCATAATGTAATCAACAAAAGAAATGAAATACCAAATTTGAAAGAAGCAATTTTGCAGCAGATTCTAAAATATTTAAAACACATGGACTGAAAATTTCTGTATCAAGCTCAACATAAAAAGCAAAGTCGTGAATACATTTGTCCCAAGTATCTCTCATTATTTTGTTCTATACAAGAAATAATATAAATGTAAAAACACTATCTTCAATGTGGGCAACAATAAAATAAAACCATCATGCTAAATTAGCTACATCAGTGTGAACTTTGGTTAGTTTTTTGACACTGACATGTGGACTCAGTCTTACCTTCATTAATGATTTAATATCTGGTAAAATCCAGAAAATGAACAGTTCAAACATTTCATGTGAAGAGTCAGTTAAAAAAAAAAAAGCCTGATATGTGGACTCTTAATTCCTCAGAGATAACATTTCACTGATATCAGCAAAAAAATTTTCCTTAAGAGACAACACTCAATAGTAGTTACTATTCTCAAAGAGATCATGACTCCAAAATCACCCAGCTACATTGTTGTTACATTGTTGTTACCGAACAACTGGCATAAGACAGTCCGCCCCTTAAAATCAATCTCTCAGAATGGCAAGAAATATTGGTAATAAATTTAAAAACAGAACTTATTTGGCCATGGCAGTAAAAGCTCTGCATCATTCTCCCTGGAATGATTTAACAGGCTCCATCTCTTCCTCTTTCAGACTGAAAATCTTTTACTAGCAGCCATTTTTTCCCCCTGTAATTTCAACTGCATTTTACTTTTGTTGTTGCTATTCTTAGTTCCCGTGCTTCGGTAACAATTTTAGTGTCTATTTCCATGTCACCTTGTATTATCTTGTATATAAAAAATTTTAAAAACCCAAACTCAAAGCTTTCTTCTTCCGTATTTCCTGATTTCGTATCTTTAACTCACCTCCATCATAAACTATCAGCCACGGAATCTTCAAGAAGGACGGCATCATCGAGATATTCTCCTGATTACTTTTAAATCATGTTAATATTTCCTACTCGTCCATTACCTCATACTCAATATCGCTTACAGCTTACATTACAATAATCTTACATCACATACACAGAATATTATTATGCAGTTTTCCGCGTAGGTTCGGATCAGAAAACCTTTTAAAGACTATGTAATTGTATAATGCGTAGCCAGCACGCAATAAAAAGCCAAATCCATTTTACAGTGACAGCGCTCTCTCACTCTCTCTATATAAAATAAATAAAAAGTCTGCCCCTTCGTTAAAGGCGAAACGTAACTGCAACCGGGACTGTTTTTCTCTCAGGCCTTCAAGGCCGCAGTCGGACTGCGACAGCTCGGGGTCCTTTACTTAGTCTTTACGAAGAGGCAGAAGCTTCCGACACTGTGAATCGGCTCGGCTTCCACACACAAGAGACTAATGAGATCCTCACGAAGAAAAAAACGAACAAGGTCCCCGCGACTCCTGCCCGTTCAACAAACGACCCCGCCCATCCCAATATTACGAGAACAAATTATCTCATGCCGAATACCCCTAACTTTGGTGTTTTGGTATCACCCAAACTTACTTTTCCTTTCGGAACCGCTCTCCGGTCACAGGCGTCTATAAACACGTTACAGCGCTTCAATACCTATCCGCCATTACAAGATCCTCGCCGTAACAAAATGGCGCCAGGCAAGAATGTTCTAGATAAAAAGGGGATTGTAAAGAACGCGTATGCGCAAACATAAACCCGCCCTCTGCGTCACGAGCCAACAATCAACGAGAGGCTTTAAAAAAAAAAAAACACAGCGCGTGCGCAAGTCAATACTGCGCGAGTAGTTTGGGGGCGTGGGATCTTGCAGTTGGAGCAGAGGGTACTGGAATGTTTCGCTGTCGAAAGTATAGATTATGATCTTCGAGCTGATGGTTCTGCTATTCCTGTTTGCATTATACAATTTATCTTGCAGCTCATCCGGGGACTGCTAAAAGAATTACGGGTAGAACCTTCCTAGTACGAATCCGCGCTTAATTAAGTTTCTCATCAAGAAACGCTCAAATGCAAAACTGCTTTTGATCTTAAATCATTCTCAACACACGTGGGCGGGTGCATTCCAGCGCCCTCACTACTGTTCAAGGAACCTCTTGAACAATAGGTAACGAGTTCTGTCAGGTGGAGACAACCTGGGGATTAAGGGTTTGGGAGTAGGTAAAACTCAATCTGATGCTGGTCTAGAACACACACACAAAAAAAACACCCGCCTTTCATGGAAGTACCTTTAATTACTGAGCATCCCACACAATCATACAGTTTAGAGCCATGCAGCAGTTGCCAACAAACTGCCTGACAGGGTGCAGGTTGGGTTCTTTCTCCATTATCACTGAAGGCATGTTGAGATTTACGCTGCATGTTGTAGCGATGGCCCTATTATCTGCTGTACGCACTACTTTAATTAGCGTGAAGCAGCATCCATTTGTACTTCTTGTGCCATATCTGTTATCGGAGGTTGGCGGTCATGTTGATCCTGTTTTTATCAGCAGCTGCACGAAAAGTGCTGCTGAGTTTTGTCCAAACCAGTCCCTTAGATTTTGAAGCCATGGTAATCTGCCTGGACCTCATTTGCCATCAATCTTGTACCCCTGCCCCACTTAATTGGAAGTGCTGAAACTATAGCATAGCACTACATTGTCACTCTATGTGCACCAGAGAAAGAAACATGCATCTACCGGTACCTCAGTTGGACCAAATATCTGAGGCTGGCTGAATATTCAGGCCATAATTTTGTGTGACAGGTTGTATCGTATTGGATACATTGGAACCACCTCGTTTTCCCTATATTGCTCTGCTAGATAACAGAATCAGTGCTTAGAGACATTGAAAGATATCTGGATGATGCCTAAATGCAGGTAGTCTTTGAATTGCAGCTATAATTGAGCCCAGAATTATGGTTATAAGTCTTTGTAATAGTAAGTTGAGGCATCATGTGATCAGACCCATATTTTGGCATTTTTTGTGGTGGTGGTGAAGCAAATCCATATTGAATTGTTTTTTGCCAAATCATAGTCACATGACTGCAGGACACTGCAAACTGCTGTAAAGGTGAGCTGGTTGCCAAGCACTTAAAATGCAATCTTGTAAAAGGGGGAGGGGGGTTGCAGTCATCATAACTTCAAAATCAGGTTGTTATATGCAGGACATATAATTTTGATTGCTAAGCGACTGGTCATAAATCAAGGACAAAGCCTAGATAACTGCCCAGTGCATTTCCTGTACCTAATCTGGACCTTGCAATAGTTGCAGAGCGTATTACTGATCTTCAAGCATCAGTAAGGCCCACAGCATCCATCCTTTAGTAGCAAGAAGTCATACAATAAATCAACTCTGGAATGAGGTTCCCCTGAAACCTGGATGTTCCCCGCTCTAGTTCTTCTCCCAGGCCTTTAGTGACGTGCATGGAACCCCTTGGGATTATGCAGGGTTTTTATTTCATTCTTGTTTGGTTTTTGTCATTTTCTAAATTCTATTTTTTACTTTTGTTCTTGTATTTTAAAACAATATTTTTACTTGTGAGTCGGAGTTTTTGGGAGTCAGGTGGTGTTTAAATTTAATAAATACATCTGGGTCACTCTTGATTCAGAATGGGACAGTTCTTCCTCCTTCTCCTGCTGATCTCCCTGAGTTCCTGTGTTGCTAAGGAGCATCCATACCACTGCCTCCCTTGTGCCACACAAAGAGTTTCTCCTCCGGGCCCAGTTGATGTCTCCACTACTGTTTTAGGAGCAGCAGTGGGACTAAAATCTCCTAACAGCCTTCACTCTCTCCACCCCCCCTTAACTCATTAACCTTGGCACTGCATCTCAGATTCTCACTTTACCTGGCTTAGCTCTTCCTCCCTGGCTTTTTCTGAAGGTGCAAGACTTCTTTATGTCAGCAGGAGAGGAAGGAGAAACTAGCCAATTTAAGCAAAAAAAAAAAAAAAAAAAGGGGGGGGGCTTTTTAATGGGAGTGCACATGTATTTAGCAAACAGAAATGCTGTCAATAAAATGCGCATACAGTTGGAAGAATTCATCCCCTGCCCCCAAACAAGCAAGCAAACCTTATTTAGTGGAAAGGTTTTCTTTGGAGGGAGGAAACATTTTAAACTCAAAAGCGGCTGATTTAAGAAACAAATTTGATGGGGGAATCCGTTTCTCTAACCACCGTAACCACCATCACACCCCTCTCTCTCTCTAGAGCAGGGGTAGGCAACCTCGGCTCTTTTATGACTCATGGACTTCAACTCCCAGAATTCCTGAGTCAGCATAGCTGACTCGGAAATTCTGGGAGTTGAAGTCCATGAGTCATAAAAGAGCCGAGGTTGCCTACCCCTGCTCTAGAGATTTCAAAAATATCTTTAAAAAGTTATGATAGAAAATTCCCAGGAACAATTAAAATTAAAAGGGAGCACTCAAAATATTTTGACCCAGAAATATTTGAACAATTCTTATGTGCACACAAAGCACCATGTACACAAATGGTTTTGTGCATACCTAGAGTCCTGATGAAAATCATGAAATTCATTGATTTACTATATAGGATAGTTGCAAAAATAAAGAGAGATCCTGAACATTTTTTGAAAGAGTGGGAGTAAAATTGTGTGTGCGTGTGCTTTTTGCTATATATATTGTCTAAATTTATTGTAATTTTGGACTTTGTTGTATGCCACTATGAATCAATATGCTTCAGCAATATATAAATCCAATAAATAAAAATGACAATTTCAGGAATACTAACATTAAAACACAGAATTTATATAAATATTCATACATCTTTATTTTATTCATCCAATTTCCCTGAATGAATATTTGTTAATCTAGATTTCTCTTCTAGCATTCTTTGTCAAGCAACTCTGCAGTTTATTGATATTGCAGATTCTTGATGAATTATAAAAAAATATGATGCCTGGCATCTAAATAGCCTCTCTACGGCTTTTCCAAAAGAAACCTTCAATTAATCTGTGGTTCTCTTGACAAAGGTGAAGTTCAAAAAGGGAAGAGTGTAGTCAATCCAGGTACATTGTCTCATAGGACAAACAGAAAAATGTTTGATTTTAAACAGGTTTGGAATTTGTCTCCTGTGAAATGTTCAAATTAAAAAAAGTTGGTCCATGGTAACTATTGAGCAAAAGGGTTAGCATGAATTGTCACATCTTTAATATGAACATCATTCAAGGGGCGGAATGTCTTTTCATTTATGGGCAGCTTCTCCAGCTCATCAAGTGTATCCAAGCCATCGATTACTCTGCACAGAGAAATAAAAAACAATGAGAATTTCCTTGCATAGAAAGGCAGGAGCCTTCTCTCATCTTTATTAAAAGCTGTTATGGGGATACATGCTTATTTACAAATAGGCTGCCATGATGCCTGTGGCTAGTGACAAAAAGTCTATGGAAGAGAAGGCAGAATGGTGAGATGACTTTCTGTCATGCTCTCCTACTATCTAAGAAATTCTCTATTAACTCAGCTGTTACCTTTTTAGTAAACAGACTTTCAAGGAAAACATTGGAATATAGTCACCCATGATTTTAATTTTTCTAGAAAGTCTATGTGACACGCAGGCATTATTGTAAATAATTGTTATATAGTGGACTTCAGTTTCTAGAATCCCCCAGTCAACATGGCCATTGCTGTGATTTCTGGGAGTTGCACGTATATCTGGAAAATACCCTAGTTTGGGAAAGTTGTTTTTTGGTTTGGGCATTTGCAGCATGCCAGCTTTCCATTTTTAAAAATACATTTAAAAAAAAGCTAAGGTAAGGTGGGACAGGTTGCTTAACAAGTAGCAGATGAGATATCTGAGGTAAATGATTTTCCCCCCCTAAACCATGCAGTCTCTATCCTATTAGACCTCTGTGGCATATAACCTTGTATTTTATTCAGTAACATTGGATTACTTACTTCCCAAAGACAGTATATTTCATGTCGAGATGTGGCTGTTTGCCATAAGTGATAAAGAACTGAGATCCATTTGTATTCGGACCATTGTTTGCCATGGAAACAACTCCACGGACACTGTGCTAAAAGTGAATCAGGAAATTAGAACATATGTATTCTGGTAAAATATTTTTTATTTCTAACTTTCCTGTTTTATCTCATGGTAACTTGCAGACTAAAACTCTAAACAGACAAAGGCTTGACATATCTCTGGGCTGATTTGCTAAATTCCGCCTTTTCCAAACTTGGGACTATAAGGCTCTTTACTGTTTTCTACTACAACATGCTCTAGTAATTTGTTAGCGCACATATTCCAAAAATCCATGGAGCTATATAAAAGAACAATCTCTGTCTCTGCAATAACTTTGACAATGTTTCCTTTTGTTCTGGCCATCCCAGGTAAGTAGAAGGTATGGATCCTGTTGATGGATGGATGGAAACCCTGAAGCAAGCTATGATTACATAAAACAAACCTAGATTTTGCATTATGACTCAACTAGGGAAAAGACTCTATTGGGTCTACCTAAAGCATTACCAGTCCTATCTCCTAGCTGTACTCATGCCCCAAACTTACTCATCATCTCCAAATATAATATAAGGGAATGGGAATCAAATGACCAACGTGATCTTCTTCCATAGTTAAGTTCATAGTTACCTTATGCTCAGGTAATTTTTTACAAAATGTACAACTTAAACAAGGAACTGCAATGAGAAAAAGAAAAAAAAATCACCTTTAAGAATTCACTGTATTCGTCTTCAAATTTTCTGCCCCAAATACTGATTCCTCCTTTCCCAGAACCTGATGTAATCAAAAGAGATGGGATCAGGGAGAAGGGGAAGAAACAGACACATGGATCAAGTGGGCTCCAAAATCAAGGCACAAAGTCAACACAAATATGTCCATAAATCTAGGTACCCTCCTCTCTAACCCAAAAGTTCTATCTCCCCCAATCCCACCCCCCCAAAAAGTAATAAATAAGATGGAGAGGTTTTCTCTCAGCTGGGGTTCCCAAAAAATATAATAAATGGTTACTGTTCTCTAGCTGCTCAAACCTCAGGCAAGCTTCAAATGACCTCTTAAATCCCAGAGGTTTGTGATGTTAATGTGTCTGTGTGGGTTTATTTTTATTTTTTTTTAGATCTGTTGAATATACAATAGATGGCTTTTATTTACCTTTTTTAAATTCAAGTTTAAAAAAACTACAGAGTGGTCCTTGGTGCTCTCTGAACCTGAGTGTTTTCTTGCAAATGTTTCATTACCCAAACTAGGCAATATCATCAGTGGGGTTTGCTCTGGAAGTGGGGATTGTTCTCAATTTACATTCTAATGTCTCCCTCTGTTAGTGTTGGTTCTTTGGTTGGGCTGTTTATTGTTAGCTGGTTTAGCACTTCCTTGATTGGGGTATTGCCTACTTATTGATTGTGGTCTGATGTTAATATTGATGTTAATCTATGCTCATCTGGGTGTTAAAAACTACTGTTTGGCAAATCAGTTTGCAAAATTTACACAGCAAATTCATAAAAGTACAATTATTCTCATCTTTGCAATAACATGATTTTCTTAACAGTAGTCTTGCTTCAGGAGAATGGCATCATATATATAACTTTAATAAAATTACCAGTTGGGTCTCCCGTCTGAACCATAAAGCCTTTGATATTTCGATGAAAAGTACAGCCATTGTAGTAGTTACTAGCACAGAGAGCCAGAAAATTCTGAGGAAAGAATCAGAAAGACAGTTAAGAAACAAACCAGGATACAAAACATTTTATACTCATTCCAAAGACTTCTGTAGACATAACAGCCATGACCAACTCCATGCTTAATTAGGGCTCAGTGAAATCTGAATAAGCCTTTCATGTTTCCTTCTCTCTTCTGCTAAGCCATCACTGATTGTGTTAGTGAGAAGTCAAACAATTCCATTCTAAAACATATATTTTGAAAGCTATGTCATTTAAATAAAAAATAGTTAACAACAGAATGCAAGTAAAAGGTATGAACTAAAATGGATCAAAATGTTCACTGCAGAACCGTAAAAAGTCAGAAATAGTGTATCTGGTATTTATCTATTTTGTCAAAACTGAATGTATAGAGGTAAAAGTATTAATTTTATAAATTATAGCAGAATGCCTATTAAGACCTGAAAATGGTTAGTACTTTCTAAATCTTTGGAAATTATAGTTCCTAAAATTTCCAAGCAGTATGGCCAATAAATTGGGCCTAAGAATTCTAATTTTAAACGCATCAGATTAAAGAAATGTAGGATTGGGATGGGCTTACGGAAGATAAACAAAGATAACAAAGCATATCTTCCATAGTTTGTTGTCTTATGCATTCTCTTATGCTGAGAATTTTGTTTATAAAATCTGAATTGTTCCTCAATTCAATGGTATCTTTTATTTTCATGACTTACTTCACAAGCTTTTGGTGTTCGTTCACAGAATAACTCAATTTTAATATCACCAACATCAGTGTGCAATGTGACAGCCTGGAGGAGGAATTGAACTGTATTATTTTTTTGCAGCAGACAAAAGCAGTCAGACAGCAATCCAATTAAAATAATCGACTATAAAAGGAAATACGGTGTATATGTGCCTCTCATTAAGATCTAAGGGATAACAGAGTTCCAGTCCAACAAATTCTTATGAGTACCTTGTTGGAGAAAGCTAAATTAAATACCAGTTCATAGTTTTTAGATAAATATACTGCCATCAGTGTTCTGTATTTTAAATGTTGGGCTCAGAATGTAGGCTGGACCCAGCTGTAAGTCACGTTTAGAGTAGCATCACTAAAATCATCCAAGCAAGTACTACAATTATAATTTTTCATCATCCTCGTCTCAGCAAGGCTAATGGAGATCGAACACCCATCAAGTTTTATACTGATCTTCTAACAGGTAGGTGTTTCATCTTTCTACACAGGTATTGATAGGTTTCGGTGTTAACAGCCCAAAGAACATGGATACCGGATTGCTGATGAGGTCTAGTCAAAAACGCCTCTGGAAAACTTTTCCCCCCAAGACCTGGCCAAGGGATCCGTGTCTTTCAAAATTGCCAATTCCCGCACGTCCAAGAATGCCAAGTCGACTCTATAGTGAAATTGTATATGGATGCGAAGCAACGGTATTGCTAAATGGGAAGCTGTTCCGCGAGATCTAGAGGTCCGGGTACACCTTATACGCGATATGGAAGAGTCCTGAAGCCGCAAAGCCTCACCATCTTCGCCGGTTAGCGGGCGGAAAACAACGCACCCGTGTCTCGAAAAGCAGCACTGTTGAAACCAGCGGAAAAGCAGCACATGCCCAAAAAAAAAAAAAAAAAAACCCAGGCAGAGAGAGCGGAGCGGTTTCTCAGGCTGAAGGCTTTGGGAATTTCCTCGCTGCTCCAGTAAGGCGGCTGCAGAAGAAGAGGCGATCTTTTCGCGAGACACCGCGATGGGGCAAAAGCAAGGAAATCCCCGCCCGCCTCTCCCCTCTGCACAACAGGTCTCCAAGGCCCGCGAGGAAGGCGCGCAAGCCCACATGTGCCTTCCAATAGTATCTTCTGCATTCAAGCCCCGCCCACGGATCTGCCGCGCTCGGCCTTTCTCGCGAAGCACTGGGTTCCGCCTCCGCCAGGCGGCTGACGGGAAGGATGTTCTCGTGTAACTCTGTCTGCCCGCCTGCTTGCCTAAATGCGCGCGTGCAACACGGGAGTTGGAGGACGTGGTTCACACGTAGTGGTGTTTTTCCAGGAAGGGGAGAATGAAGCGATTCATTTCACGAATCTGAGGAAAGTTTGGCTGTTTGGGTAAGAAGGCAGCCGCAAATGCAGCTGGGGTGGAGGGCCGCGAGGCGGCGATCGTAAATTTATTGTGCCTTATTTGGAAATAAAAAAACCTCTTAAAACTAGGAAAGCTTACCTGGGAGGAATGCCCCATGGTTGGAGTCGTGCAATTCTCCCAGGAAATAAAACATACGGCAGGGTTTAATATAGTAAGGAATTGAGAATGTTTTTTCCCCCCCCCCCCTCTCTGCTTTTCTCCCCGTGGTTGGTTGCCCGGGCAAGAGGACAATTACTTTGTATTTTATGACGTTTCTTGTGTTTTATCTCAGGAATTCGTCCACACAAACCAACGTATATCGGCAATAATAGATGAATATTGAAAAGGGAGGGAAAGCAAGGCAGAAGGAATAATGGTTATATTTATTTTGCAAAAGTTTGCATTTGAGTTGATTCTCTGTTGGGCAAGATAACCATCTTTAAAGCAGATCTTGTCTCGAATAACTGCATGTTCATATTTCTATCATTCTGGTGGATTTGACTGCAGCTTTCCTGATCCGATATTTATATCTTAAATGAACAATAATTATTGTTTAGAAAGATCCAAATAAGTCTGGACTCTCCCTTTCAAAGCCTGTTTTATTAGTCATCGTTTAAAAAAGTTTGCTCTTCGGAAATCAATACTGCTCCATTGGGGTATGTAGGATTTTTCTTTCTGAATGTATGATAATACTGCAGTAATATGATTAAAAGCCCTGTTTTTTTCTTGGGCAAAGCAAAAATGAAATTTTGTGTTTATTTTGTTGAAGATGACACATCTGGATTCATTCACAACACTACGCCATCAGTTAGGATTTGCAAACACCAAGGTTCACATGATAAATTAACTCAAAGCCAAACAAATTGCATTATGGCTTTATCCAGCAGTTCTCCAGAGTTGTCAAAACTCACTCCAGTAATTGGTCCCTGCTTCAACTACACAAGCTCATCAAACTTTAAAAGTCTGGTGATAAGCATATGAACATTTAATTATCAAAAGTAGGAAAAGAGGTAGAAGGATTATATATGCCCATCTCGAGTTATATGAAGTAAAGGTGGGATATAAACCACTAATTCTACTAATAAAATATTTCTTGTCCAACCAGTGAAATCATGACTTGTGAGAAAGTTATGCAAATTCATTTATCACTAGCTGTACCCAGCCACGCGTTGCTGTGGCTCAAGAAAGAAAAGAGAAAGCGCACATTTGTAATATGTTTAATTTCACAATGCTTGTGGGTATACAATATTTTTTGTTGTTCCATTGTGTGTGCAGATATAGAGATTACGTCCAACAGATGGCACTGTTTTTCAAAAAAAGCATGTTTTTACCTGTCACAGGTATGATATCTATATAATATAGGTATATAAAAACACGCGTGTATTCAAATGCAACGTTGTGTCAAAATTTCAAAGCAGTTGGTGAAGAACTTTCGGAGATTTAAGATTTTGAACAAACGAACATTTACATTTTTATTTATATAGATCAGCGGTTCTCAACCTGTGGGTCGTGACCCCTTTGGGGATCGAATGACCCTTTCACAGGGGTCACCTAAGACCGGAAAACACATATTTCCGATGGTCTTAGGAACTGAGACACCACTCCTCTATCCATCTCCAGGTGGATAAAAACAACACAGAGAATGGTAAGGCTTAAAGCATCAAAGGAGCAACTCCCCGCCTCTCAGGTAGAGCTAGCAAAAGCCAACGACTCAGCCCGCCTTCTTCCAGCCTTTTCACCAATCAGAAGCCACGGCCCGGACATTGGCGTCCGTAACGTATCTTCCCGGGGAATCTGTGAAGCCGGCGGAGCTGCTCCAGATCGCGCTTGGGTGCAGTCGCTCGTGCCTCTGTGGAAGGGGGGAGACGGGCTGGCAGGGAGTTGAGGGGGGGTGAAGCAGGAGGAGGGAGGGAGGGAAGGAAGGGTTGTTAGCTGTGGAATCAGCACGCCAGAGGGCTTTGCCACGGGGTGGGTTCCTTTTGTATTTTGATTCCCTCCCTTTTGGAGGGAGGAATGGATATTTTATGATCTGGGGGAAAACAAATCTGGGGTTGGTCTCTGCCCTTGCGTGGGGGGGGGTTGCAAGCACCTTAATTGTGTCTCCCCACCCCCATCCGTGGGATTTTCCTCAGGGTTGCTAGGAGCTGCACTTAAACTCGGAATCGCCCGGCTGCAAGTGAAGAGAAGGGAGTTGGCGCGGGCGAGAAAGCTAGCAAGCCAGCCTGCCTGCCTGCCAGCCCAAATTGCAAGCTTCCCTTCGCCTTTTTCGTCGTGAATCGGGAGCAAGCCAACCTCGGGATTTTCCCTCCTCCCGCCTTTAAACGGCTTCCTTTTATTCTGCCTCCCGCTTGGTCGGGATCCAAAGGCGAGGCTCCGATTGGGGAAGTGTATACTCCACTGCCAAAAATTTTTGGGAAAAAGGAAATGCATTGAGAGAGGGACGTCAGAAAACATTTAGGTGAGAATCAAGTATGCTCAGTGGAAGGTGAAAATGTTGGAAGGAAGGAATGCAATAGCTGGAATCTGGGACAGCTGTAAAGTTGTATTCTTCTGTTTTGGGAAACTTCCATGAAAAAGTAGTCATGTAACCCTTCGCTTCATCCACAAGGGGTTCTGATTTTTTATTTATAACCCTTTTCCTTTCTTCCGTTCTCTTGCTGCTTTTCCTTCAATTGGTCATGTGATCAAAATGTGGATGCTTGGCAACTGGCCTGTATTTATGACGGTTGCAGTGTCCCAGGGTCATGTGATTATTTTTAGCAATCTTTTGATAAGCAAAGTCAATGAGGAAGCCAGATTCATTTAACAACTGCAGTGATTCATTTAACAACTGCAGCAAGAAAGGTTGTAAAATGGGTGCAACTCACTTAACAACTGCCTTGCTTAGCAATGGAAATGTTGGGCTCAGTCGTGGTCGTAAATTGAGGACTACCTGTAGTTGTGGAATTCCTTTTGTTGGATGCTTCTATCTTCTGGAGTCTACAGTCTGATCCTGCATATCAGATATTTACATTACGATTCATAACAGTAGCAAAATTACAGTTATGAAGTAGCAACGACAATACTTGTATGGTTGGGGGTCACCACAACATGAGGAACTGTATTAAAGGGTCGTGGCATTAGGAAGGTTGAGAACCACTGATATAGATAGATTTTAGGAAATTGCAGAGCACATGCTGCAACCTACTGGTAGTTACATGGAACTACTGTTATCTCCCCATTTTAAACATTTTAAAGGAAAACTAACTGGGAAACCAACCATTTTGTAAAAGCAAATTCTCAACATTTCTATTTAGTAAATGTCTCTAGGCCCTCTGTGGGTAATTGCTAGGTAATAAGTAAGTGGTTGCCTCCTGGTACTTTTTGGGGAAAGATGCTCACCTGCACAGAAAAAGTAAGGAAAAGGTGAGATGGGAATGGTAAAGAAACATCGTGAGATTCAAGAGAACAATCTCCTTGCTTGCCTACTTGTAAATTGGTGTCATTGATTATTTTCTTGGCAGCTACTTTTGGCCCACCTTCCTAGGGAGCTCACTCCTGTTTCTGCTGCCTGATAAGATTGAATAGATTGTATTATTTTTTCTTTTTCTTTATATGTTTTATTATTATTTTACTTTCTTATATTTCTTTTCTTCTTTCTTTCTCTTTATTCTTCTTTTTTTTTAAGTATCTTTTTCTTTTTTTCTTTAATATTTATCTCTTTTTTATATATATATATATATATTATTGTTAATTATTCTATTAGTAGTTTAAGTAATGTATTTAGACTTATCTATGGTTTATATATATATATTTTTTAAGAACTCAAGAAAATTTAAAAAAAAAAAGATTGAATAGTTTACAGTACCACTGAAGGCAGAAGAAGTCAGTGCACGAGATTGAGCCACTCTTAGTCATGTGAGGAAAATAGAAATGTGAGTGGGATTTTTTCATTCTTTTTTAACACCAGAAATCAAAGACATTATGCATTCTCCCTATTGTAGAAGTAAGATTTTCCAAGAATAAACTGTGCTTGAAAATTGTCTAGAATGTATATGTATATGCTGTAGCTGATACTGTCAGTTTTTTGGGGGGTATAGTTTCTTCTTGTCTGGTGTTGATCCCTGCTTACCTGTGTGTGGGCTGCTGTAGAAGACGTGTTCTACTCTTGTGTCCTTCAAAGGTTCAAGATGCTAATAGTTTCACAGCTGAAACTGGGATTGAGTCCGTCCATGTGTTGTTTGTCAAAAGCTCCTTAATTTCACAGCATGATAGACCAAGCCAAATCCAAACCTGCTAGGGATTTTCTGGAAGCTTGGCATTCAGATTAATAAAGAGATGAACCACATTTACATAGCATTCAAAAGTGATAATAAAAAACCTAAGAAGGAAAAAGAATACATCCGCTCCAGCAGCCTACATTCAGGTAAGCAGGGATCAACACTAGACAACAGGCAAAACAATACTCTAAGGAACCCTTAAGGAGAAAACTACCCCTCCCCCAAAAAAATTTGTGCTCTTATTAATATGTTCACTCTGCACTGATAATGTTACTGAATGAGTCTTTGCTCTCAAACAAGTTCAGAGAGCAAAAGAACTCCACAGTTCAGTCCTGAGCTACTGATATTCTCTTTTATTAGATTGCACTTTCTGTTCCTTTTGGTAATATTTTTGCTTTTGGGTTTTCTAGCATCTGAATGCCTCTGTCCTGTTTGAAGCTGATTGCACGACCTTTTTTGCAAGCACCACCCTTGATTGTTCAGCCTTTGCGCTTCATCATGGATCTGAAAGACCTTGTTACTTCTTTAAATGATTTTGCTTCACTTTCCCTGGCTGAAAGTTGGGATAATGTGGGGCTCTTGGTTGAACCAAGTCCTCCTCATATTGTCAATACCCTTTTTCTCACCAATGATTTAACTGAAGATGTGATGCAGGAAGCCCTAGAGAAGAAAGCAAATCTCATTCTTTCTTATCACCCTCCCATTTTCCACCCACTGAAACGTATAACGTGGAAAACATGGAAGGAGCGTCTGGTAATTCGAGCCTTGGAAAACAGAGTTGGCATTTATTCTCCTCACACAGCATATGATGCTATACCTAATGGAGTCAATGACTGGCTTGCTACAGGACTGGGTGAGGCATTTTTGTCAGTAATTACACTAGACGTAAAATAAGAATCTATGAGCACAAGCCAAACACAAAGCAGATAATAACGTTATATGTTTTAAAATGTTATGTTTGTACTCTTGCTAGCATTTTACATTATATAGTTTCTATTGAAATGTGTCAGCAGAAGGACTATGTTAGATAAATAAAATCTTTGTTGCTGTTTAGGAGGGAAAAAGGCAAGTAAACACAGAATGGATATTATTTTAAACAATGAAAAAATACAAGACTGAAGTATATATTCACATCCAACTATTATTTGTAGGGAGCTCCTCTCTCCCCATCTTGAAATACCATGCTATCAGCCCCACTAAAAAATTGACACCTTTTCAAAGGACTGGTGTGAAACAGCTCTTTTAATTCTACTACTTCAGATTCATTAAATAGGGCAATCCAAAGAGAGTACTTACATCTCAATATTCTGTGCACAAATAGTATGCATATATAAATGGCCAAAAGTCCAGAACCTATTATGTGAGTCTATGTGAATCATAAACATGGATGATCAGGAATTCTAAGCAAAAATGTAGCAGGTTGCTACGGGAATTATAGATACCTGTCACTCCTCTGCCATTTCCTTGCAAGCGTGATTTAAAAACAATTGTAGTTTAGTAATTTTTCAGCTCTGCAATAGTTTCAGCGTAATAGCTAATTGCTGTATTTATATTCAGCCCCCATTATAATCTTATGAAGAATTAAAATATTCATGTAGTACGATAATATTGGTACATTGCAATAAACCTCAACTTTCAGTAAGTTAACAACAATATACCGGGAACAATGTTATGGAAGGCACGTAATTTGATGGTTGGCAAGGTAAAACCTGGACAAGAGTATTGTGCAAATCATTTAATTTACTTTGCTTTTTTTTTCAGGCGCTTGTACTTCTGTTCCTCTGAAACCGGCTACAGCTTCCACTTACCCTGTAGGTGGGCCTTTCCGGGTTGAATTCAGTGTATCCTCTGCTGAAAGTCTGGAAATGGTTTTATCCCAAGTCCATCGGATGCCAGAGGTGTCACTCATTGCAACTCAACCTGCCAGGTATTGCTAGAGACCACCCTAGGTTATTTTCTTTCACTGATGAGTTTCAATGTGATAAAAGAGCAGGTTCTTTATCTGTGACCAGATAATATTTTTGAAAATGTATAGGAAGAAAATAATACATATTATTTAACTGTGCTAAAAGGCACTGTACTTTGAATCCTCCCACTTTGGATTGTACAAAAAATATATGTGATAATGGCTTAAACAGCTTGCAAAAATATTCTAACTTAATCCAGTGACTTTAGCCTATTTCAGAAATATTATCAAACTAATAAGTTTTGATTTCCATGTAATAGCAGATTTTTACTTTAAGAACATACTCAAAGAAACCATGTTTTTCCAAGTATTAGATGTACATTTGATGAGACGTGCTACTTTGTATTACATTTCAAGTCAAATAAATTCATTGAGAGCTAGGATTTCCCAGCATTTTTAAGACCACTGTGACTAATAGGGTGCATAATAAATTATAAGCATAAGCTTATTGCTGCATGCCATAAACAAAGAAGCAACCTCTTCCCATGCCAGACTGTTTATTTCTCTAGCCAAATATTGTCTAATCCAGGGGTAGGCAACCTCAGCTCTTTTATGACGCATGGACTTCAATTCCCAGAATTCCTGAGTCAGCATAGCTGACTCAGGAATTCTGGGAGTTGAAGTCCATGCGTCATAAAAGAGCCGAGGTTGCCTACCCCTGGTGTAATCTGGTAGGAGTGGCTCTTTACAATTAGCCAAAAATACCAAGCATTAAATTTGCAACCACAGTTATTGAAAGCACAATAATATGCTTTGGTCCTACGTTTCTGGGTGGTGGGTCACAGTTTTAATTAATTATATACTGTCTTTATTCTTTTTATAAATAAGTCAAGGCGGAAAACATACATAATGTTCCTTCCTCCTCCTATTTTCCCCACAACAACAGCCCTATGAAGTGGGTAGGGGTGAGAGAGAATGAGTGGCCCAAAGTACCACTAGAACGTGGAATCTCCTAAGTTGTAGCCTGCTTCTTTAAACAGTGTACCAAACTGGCTCTCACTGATAAAATGTCCAGTTCCCTATCTGTGATCTTGTTGCTAAAATGGAACAGGACACATAAGCAAAGGCTACATGCACCAAACACCTCAGAACCCAGGAAGGCGCTCCATAGTCTCTAAGGACCATGCTTGTGAATTAGGCCCACTCTCATACTCCTCACACATTCATCTTCAAAAACGTGGCCTTTACCTGGCAAAAGTGACCCACTCTTCCCCCTCCACGTAAGCTGAAGCCACAAATAGATGGAAATGAGAGCAGCGTTTATCTGCCTTAGTGTTCTATCCTTGTTCAAATCTATGAATGGCATTAACCAGCATTTTCATATAGCTGCCAGATGACTTGACAGGCGGCATTAAGTCCTGCTTAAAGTTACCTGCCAAAGGTTTTGAATGACTAAGGGTGGTGGGATGGGAATGGTTTGTGCATGATTACATGATTAAAGGCAGTACATTTTGTGATCCGTGTGAGAGAGCTGGAGGTAACACATATTATTCACCAACAGCATATTGTAAGGGTTTTTTTAATTAATATTTCTGTTCCAAATTTCCAAGAATTGAAGGAGAAGAACAAACACGTGTCAGCTTGAACTGTTCTCAGCTAGCTTTGTTGCAAGTGGTGGCCTTGCTTTCCCAGAAGAGCCTGCTGTATCAAACAACTGAAATCGTATCACTACAGAAGGTAAACCATAGATAAACAAATCAAAGTTTATTTTCATAGAGCGTCCAAAGCTGCAAAAAGAATAAACGAAGATGTAGCAATGTGACAGAGGAAGGTTGATTATGTCTTAGCAAGGAAGCGAAAGAAATTACTTCGCAAGGAGATGTTCTGTTTCTAGCAGAAATAAAAGATAACAGCTGCAGTTTCCTAGCAAGAGCTCTGGTGGCTCAGTAGTTAGAATGCAATACTGCAGGCTGCTTCTGCTGACTGCCAGCAGTTCAGCAGTTCGAGTCTCACTGGCTCAAGGTTGACTCAGCCTTCCATCCTTCTGAGGTCAGTAAAATGAGGACCCAGATTGTTGGGGGCAACATGTTGACTCTGTAAACCGCTTAAAGGGGGCTGTGAAGCACTGTGAAGTGGTATCTAAGTCTTTGAAGAAAGTACCAATAAGAAAAGACTGCTAAAGGTCTACGGCTGTATCAATTGTATATTGTATTTTGAAAAACAGGGATCAGCCACTCCTTATTTCTCCATCCTAGCCATTCATGATAGAATATAAGGTATAACCTCAAATGATCTCAACATCTAATAGAGCCGTCTTCAATTTTTGCATCCTCTTCCCATCTTTTCTTTAAGCGTATAACCAAACAAGTTACATGGCTCAAAAATATAATATTCCATTCTCCCCTCTTTATTTTACCATTTGTTTAAGCAGCATCTGGAGTGCTGATAAGCTTGCCCACTCTTTTCTGAGACTTTGGGTATTAAAGTACAAATAGTCTTTGACTTATGACCATAATTGAGCCCAAAATTTCGATTGCTAAGCAAGGCAGTTGTTAAATGAGTTTTGCTTCATTTTACAACCTTTTTGCCACAGTTAAGTGAATCACTACAGTTGTTAGGTGAACCATGTGGTCATTAAGCAAATCTGGCTTCCCCCATTGACTTTGCCAAGTGCCCAAATTTATATCCTGAGATTATGGGGATGATGCAACAGTTGTAAGTGTGAAAAAAACCAGTCATAAGTTACTTTTTTCAGTCCCATTGTAACTCTGAATAGTCACCAAACAAATGGTTATAAATCAAGGACTACTTGTATGTCGTATCTCAGATCTGGAAATAGGACAAGCATAATCATTTGAGTAATTTGTGGTGCATATGGGATAGTTGTGAATCACAAGTTCACCTTGATGTTCTCAAATTTAGTATCATGTACATGTTACAATCCATCCTAGACATGTTGAGTTTCCTTCAAAAGGGGCTTGATCCCAACTAAATTTGCAAAAGATTGACAGCTTTATGCAATAGTTTTTAGTGCAACTGATAGGTACATGTTAAGGATAAATTGAACATAAGTTGTGGTGCTTTACTACAGAGGTCCCCAACCCCCGGTCCGTGGACTGGTATCAGGCCGTGGCATGCCAGCAACCGGTCCGTACAAAGCCCCATCTACAGGATGCAGGCAGCACACAAAACCACGCCCCCTCTGGTCTGCGGAAAAACCTCTCTCCACATAGCCGGTCCCTGGTGCCCAAAAGGTTGGGGACCTCTGCTTTAGTATATCTTCTTGTATTTATGAAAACAGGTTTATTTAAATATGTCTTTGTTATTACAGCAAGAAACTGCCAGAGAACCTTCATTGTAATCATTTCATTTTTGTCTTCTTTTCAGCCTCTGCTTGCCGATACCGGAATGGGACGTTTATGTACATTGCATGAACCGGCCTCTGTTTCTCTCTTGATTGAACGATTGAAAAGTCACTTAAAACTGTCTCATATTCGTCTAGCTCTTGGAGCAGGGAAATCTTTGGGTATATATTTACTTTCTTTTTGTGTTGGCAGTGGACTTTTGCTACTTGCTACCTAAAACATTCATTATTCTTTATTTTGTGAGATGATGCTTATTAGGGCAAGAACAAGATGCATCTATTTCTAAGTGATTTGTTTGACTGATACACTCAGAGGAGCCACTTATAAAAACACAGTATTTCCCACTGACTGATTTAGGGTAAAATATTGCTGTGCTATGGAATTAAATAAAATTAGTCTGGTTCAGCCAGACCAGTCATTTAAATAATTTGTGGGGAGGCGGAGATTATTTGAAAGTTTAGCATATTTAAAATGTTTGGAAAAGACATCTTTAGTTAGACTAAAAACAGTAAGAGCTCCTTTTCATAGTGTGGGGGGGAAAGCAATCCACATCCATCATTATACTTCAAGGTCTCATTTGATCACATTGTATTGCAATTGTACTCTAAGATGCTAGCTTATGCTGCCTACTTTTGCCTAACAATAACTCAGAGAGCACTGCCCTGTCTCAATTAGAATTAACTGCTCTGACCATCAGTTCTCTTTTTAACTGAAGATGAATGAACCTGCTTGTTTGAGTCTGTAAGGAACACACAGGCTTGTGTACCAACCTGCAATCTTTAATCCATTACCCACCCACTCTGCATCATCTCAGGGAAAACAACAAACCCAAAAGTAACCACAAAACCTGCAGCACTAAACTACACTATTGATTCTTTTTGTAGAGTCCTCAGTGAAGGCAGTTGCTCTTTGTGCTGGTTCAGGAGCAAGTATTTTACAAGACACAGAAAGTGATCTCTATGTTACCGGTAAGAACCTTTTAAAAACAGGATTTTGAAACAGCTATTTTCTTATAGATCAGAAATACCAAACTCATGTGGTTGATATATTTTCCGTGTTAACATTGGAGAACTATTCACTAGCTAAGTTTGTCTAAATAAAATAGTAATATCCCCCTTTCTGCAATACCTTTTATCGACTATTTATATGAAATATAAAAAAAACCTGGTTTGCTGGAAGTAATCCAAATTTATAAACTTAGCTGCAGTACTCACTGTGCACACAGAGATCTGGATCTGGAAAAATCTTTAATTTTCTGAAAGCCTTTCAGGTATTTTGCTGCATATTCCTGTTTTTCAGATATTTTTGCATATTTAACTATGTAAGTCATTCATTTGAAGTGTTTTACCTACTTCATCAGATAGGCAGGTTCTCGGAATAGTTTTAAGGAAGACTTGTAAACAAATAAACCCCCATCCCAAAAGACCTTTCTTATTGCATTGTAGGAGAGATGTCCCACCACGAGGTACTAAATGCTGTTTCCAGAGGGATTTCCGTGATTTTGTGTGAGCACAGTAACACTGAACGAGGCTTTCTGTTAAAGCTGCAACAAATGCTAGCTGTGCATTTTATGAATAAGATCAATATCATCATTTCTGAAAGAGATAGAGACCCTCTTCAAGTTGCATAAAAGAAGCAAATGTTGAGAAGTAATGTAAGTGTATATCCTTCAGAGACTTTAACAAAAAATATTGGCAAAAATATACTTTGATTCCTAATGTTTTAACAATATCATGTCTGGAAATGAGTAAATGGTTGAAAAAGGCAAAATGACTTTATTGTAGCTGAGAAAATTACATTTGAATGCTCAAGATTTTTATTTTACATTTTGAGAGTATCAAATTGGAGGATAGCTTATGTACAGTTTCTAATTAGCAGCATTCTCTCACTGAATATTCTTTCTGTCTATACATTTTTAATCTGCCTCAGAGTCATTTTACTTTCCCCAATACAGTATCCTTGTCCTCTTTTCCTTCTCCGAGATCAATTTTGCTGGTCCCTTCTGAGGCAAATCAATATTTGTTACCCTAGTTTCTAACTGTACTTTCTGTATATTCATTTTTTATACCAGATTTGGATTCATTTGTCATCCACTAACAGCAATCAATATTTTCCTATATCATCCAAATCAATATAACACATAAACCTCTGAAGCCAAAGTTACCTTCAGGAGTGATATGGGAAAAGAGATGTTTTGGAAGAGTCTAGAAACAGTTTATTTTCAGTTAAAGCTCTCAGTATTTCAAAAATAGTTCTTCTCTAAGACAGTAATAGTTACATGGCATAACAGAGCCATATAAAAAGATACAATTTCATGTTTGTTTTTATTCAGACAGCTTTTAAACAATCATTAGGTAAGAAAAACAGGTTAACTGAGCATGTTTGCAGTAGTTTTTATTGATAAAAACAAATAACAGCTGTTGTCATACTTTTCAAATGGCTTATATGGGGGAATCTTTCGTTCCCAATTAAGGCTAAAAATTGAATAAACGATGATATCCACATCTCTGGTATCAATAGTTTATTTTGCTCAAGTCCAACCAGTTTCCTAACCCAATCCTTCCATCTCACATGACACACATTTGAAGATCAATAATGGTCTGCCTATAATGTATTAAATATACACCAATTAATAGCCGAAAAGCTAATGCCAATCACATGTATTATCAAGCACAAGTTCTCCAGTTCAATCCTTATTTCCAGAAGATTTGTGAACAGAAGGCACAGTAGTATCAGTGGATGACATTTTCTTGGTCTATAATGATATAGACTGGCAAAGGAGAAACCTGAGCAGCTAAAAATTGGCTTGGTTTATACAGTATCACATTCCATTATTACAGGTAGATTAGACTCCTGAGATCTGCAAAATGGCTAAACTGTAGGATAAAATCCCAACAGTTCTTAACAGAATTGCCCTTGAATTTATGAGCCTTCAAACATCATTATCTTTTTGCAAAAAGTCAGCCAATATTCCAGCATCCACAGGAATTAATAAATATTCCACTCCATCAGCACCCTGAAAATAAATTGAGAATTAGTTTAGAAATATAAAAATGGTAATATTTTTACTTATTCCCTCTAGTGCAGGGGTCTCCAACCCCCGGTCCATGGACCAGTACCGGTCTGCAGCATGCCAGCACGAACAAGCAAAGCCCCATCTGCGAGACGCAGACAGCACACAAAACCACGCACTCTCCAGTCCATGGAAAAACCTCTCTCCACAGAACTGGTTCCTGGTGCCCAAAACGTTGGGGACCTCTGCTTTAGTACATAGTTCAATATTTTGTCAGGAGTAAAATAAACTTATCCTTGTGTTTTATTTTTATAATTGAGTGAGAGCAATATTTGACTTCTTTCAATAGCCTAATTGCAAAAAATATGGCATTTTATCTTCATTAGGAATATCCAATGTGATATTCTCCTGGCTTTTATCAATGTAGCCATCATAATTCAACCTGGATTCTTTCTCAGACATGGTTAAATAAGATGTAAGTTCACAACTAACACAAAGATTCTCCTCACTTACCCTCTTGGTCCGAATTAGCTTGTGATCCCTGAATTCTATGAGCTGAGCTCTAAGAGTTAGGTCACTATTGACCAAGAAAGCCTCCCGACAGCGTTGATACAAATCTTGGAACGAAAGACCTAGTTAAAAGAGAAGGAAAAGAGGCTTAATACCAAGCATAAAAAATAAACTCTTGTTCAAATGGACAACTCTCATTTCAACACCAAAAAACATAATCTAATCTAATCATCTGTAGAATCCGCTTCCTACTGTTGAGGGTATTGTTTTCTAAAACTTTCAATGAGAAATGCACATATTAACATGAAATTAGTTTAAGACTACAGTAAAAAAATGCAGAAAAGAAAGCAAGCCAAGAGTGTTCAAGCTCAGAGTATACTTAGTATATATATCAACATACAGTTCTGATCGGGTCTAGGACAACTCACCACGAGACAACATTGTATTAATAGTTTCATTCAGTTACTTTTATTATTGGTGACCACGTTTTCGTTGAAAGTATGTAACTCCTATATTTCTGGACTGACTTTATTTTACTGTTATTGGCCACGGTTCTGTTGAAATTTAAGTTTTGTATTTGTTGAATTGTCCTTCGTGAGTTGTCCCATGGCGGGTTGGCTGTGGTGAGTTGTCCCGTTCTGTTCTGATCTGTCTGCATATACAGTGTCAATTTGCACATGCTCATGCTTTTTTATATTGTGATTTTACCCTCACATCAAACAAAGGTTTGTAGTCAGTAATTTACAAACAAGAATTGCAAAGCCCATTTTCTGTATATTCTGATTTGGATATAATGGAAATTATTGCTCAGTCAGAAGTATGAAAAATACTGTAAGCTACATCATAATTTAAGATTAAGCCTGCATTAATCCAGTGGCTGGCTGCCCAAATTATTCTAAGCTATATTGTAGTTTGTTCTTGGCTTAACTCAACATAGGAACATATTCATGCTTTAGAATTATCTATAAATTTGAACCTTATGAATGTTCAACAAAGTTTGGATTTTGCATGAGCTCAGCCATTATTTGATCTTCATTTTCATAGATGTGTAGATACTTGACAAAAAGGTTATAATAAAGTAATTTACTATTTTTACACAGAAAAACAGTGTGCACCAGAACCTATCAATGAGAAAAAGCATTGAATTTTCCCACATTTATATACTAATATATGATCAAAGACTTAGATGACCATAAAAACCAAGAGAGCGTGATTTGGCTATTTGATGAATTGAGGAAGTGGAACATAATGAAAGGAAGAAAACTATATTCCAACCACTTCCCAAACAGCGATTTAAGTGGGCTAATGAGAGCAAAATTTAAATGGGAACTTTGGATAGAGATAGCCATCTTCACCATTTAAATTGTGTTCCTTGTGAGGATGTGCTCAGAAAAACCTTACAACCTACAAATAATGAGATCCATTAGCCCAGGGGTCCCCAACCCCCGGTCCGTGGACCAATACTGGGTCACGACATGTCAGCAACCAGTCCGCACAAACAAAGTCCCATCTGCAAGATGCAGGCAGCACACAAAACCACACACCCTCCAGTCTGTGGAAAAACCTCTTTTCACGGAACCGGTCCCTGGGGCCCAAAAGGTTGGGGCCCTCTGCATTAGCCCAAGCCCAGAATTGGTTTTGACTACAAAGCCTCAGACTGCCCTTAAATATTTTCCACTATATTCCCTAGCCCCATGGCTCCCAACCCTTGCTCTAGCCTGCAGATCTCTTTAATTTAAAGCTATACATATTCCAGCCAGAAAAAAAAAAAACATTAAAAGTCTCAACCTGTTTATTAACAGGTAATGTTCAATGTCAAAATTCTCTACCAAACTCTTTTTTTGACAACAATACTCTATTTGAACACCAGAAACAAATTACAAATGCATGTTACCTAAATAGGAGGGATTGTCCTTATTCTCCAATTGGTACTCTACCAAGAGCCTAAAGATACCCCTGAAAAGAGAGACAACCAGGTTAATATAGTTAAATACAGCAAGAACAATTTATCCACATCCACTCCTTGTTTAGTGACTAACGTCAATTAGAATCCATTTGCAAATATGACAGTAATAAAAAATTCATTTTCCAACTAATGTGAGCTTTTACGACAAAATTGCGTACACCTGACAGAGAACAAAGTGAAAGTAACAATGGCAAAACTATATAAGAAAACTTTTATCTGAATGAGACAGCAACCAGTGATCTTCACAATGTCAAAGTTGTATGTTCACATAGTGACGATTTCACTTAACAACCTGGCCAGTGGAACAGAATTCGGTCAGTAAACTAGGAATGAGTGTATTTATCATCACTGAGGAAAACTGTTCTAAGAAAACTCCATATTCCTCATACAATTTATATATTCTTACTTTTATATTTTCTTTACTGGTTCCACTAAACGTTGGAGTAACTCTTGCTATTCCATGCATTAGCGTAGCTGCCATTTTTTTATCAGTTGGTTTTACTCTCCCCAAAGAAAAAACCCTTTTTATATTTATATATTTATATAAACTTAATATATATTTATTTTATATTTATCAAAATTTAACCATTTATTTGTGCGCATGTGCACATAAGATAGAAATGCTGTCTACTTTTAAATACCTCATTGGTTAAAGGAAGCAGAAAAATGCAATAAAGCAAAATCAAAGATTTGAGTTCTATCTCAGCTATGAGATAGCCGGCTACTAACTGACCCACACTCAGCAATTTGAAGGATGTGTGATGCCCTGAGTTCCTGTGAAGCAAAATACTAGAATATTTTTTTCATAATTAGAACACATTGCTTCACAGGAACTCAGGGCATCTCACATCCTTCAACTTGCTGAGGGGGACAGTTATTCAGCACATTTGAAAGGCTCCAAGTACCCTATCCTGCACAGGGAAAACACCAGGTTTTTTCCCATGCCCAATTGCAATGCATAAAAGAATTATATTTTTAGTATTAGTCTTATATGCTAGAGGTTTTTTTCTGGGTTTTTTTCCTCTCTCGTTTCGTGCAAACTTTCTTACCTTGCATTAGAAGTAAGACTGCAGAGAACATGTGTGAGGGAGCTCAATGCCAAAGACCCCGAATGCTGTACCAAGAGTGAGTTCTCATAGGCTGTTTCTTCTGCATAAGGGCTAAAGGTGGTCGTTTCATACCACAACCAATTATACATACTTTGTTTTGCTTGATCCCACACTATGAGTGCAGAAGACAAATATCAAAAAGAAAGAAAATATTAATGCCCTAAGAGTACATGTTCCATAAAACTTGGGGAACTCTAACTGTGGAAATGGCTTTCCGTAACAGCTTTTGTGACATGCCAACATAGAAATGCAGACAGAGAAAGTAATTCCAAACTGTTACCTGAACTAAACTCTTTTTATGACAGATTACTGTTTGAATAAGGCCTGATACTAATTAGACCTTATTTTTAATAAAGAGGTGTATTTAAGGGACTCATTTGGCTTTTGGATGGCAAACAGGGGGATGCATTCCAAACAAGAAGAAAAAGAACAAAATGTAATTTAATATGAATATAATTAAATTATTTAACACAATCTTATTCCATCACATTATTCTATCACAGTTTCAAAGCCTTCTGGAACTGTGACCAAAGCTTTCATAGAATTCATGAAAGCCTAGTCTCAAGTCATACATCTCTGATAAATATCAATTATAGCATCAGCTGAATAGTTATTTCCAGCCCTTATTTTTTATTAAAGAAATGATCCTAGATTTTCTTTATGAAGGGTCCTTCTAAATGTCTGTTAGAGGCATGAAGAGAGTGTTAACCTATCCTACGTCTAGGACAAGAACTCTGACTAGACCAAGTCTTGTAGGCTCCACCTATAGTGAGGGAAAAAAAATCATTTGATCCCCTGCTGATTTTGTACGTTTGCCCACTGACAAAGAAATGATCAGTCTATAATTTTAATGGTAGGTTTATTTTTAACAGTGAGAGACAGAATAACAACAAAAAAACCCAGAAAAATGCATTTCAAAAAAGTTATAAATTGATTTGCATTTTAACGAGTGAAATAAATATTTGACCCCTTCGCAAAACATGACTTAGTACTTGGTGGCAAAACCCTTGTTGGCAATCACAGAGGTCAGGCACTTCTTGTAGTTGGCCACCAGGTTTGCACACATCTCAGGAGGGATTTTGTCCCACTCCTCTTTGCAGATCCTCTCCAAATCATTAAGGTTTCGAGGCTAACATTTGGCAGCTCAAACCTTCAGCTCCCTCCACAGATTTTCTATGGGATTAGTCTGGGGACTGGTTAGGCCACTCCAGAACCTTAATGTGCTTCTTCTTGAGCCACTCCTTTGTTGCCTTGGCTGTGTGTTTTGAGTCACTGTCATGCTGGAATACCCACCCACAACCCATTTTCAATGCCCTGGCTGAGGGAAGGAGGTTCTCACCCAAGATTTGATGGTACATGGCCTGTCCATCATCCCTTTGATGTGGTGAAGTTGTCCTGTCCCCTTAGCAGAAAAACACCCCCAAGCATAATGTTTCCACCTCGATGTTTGCCGGTGGAGATGTTCTTGGGGATCATAGGTAGCATTCCTCCTCCTACAAACAGGATGAGTTGAGTTGATGCCAAATAGCTTGATTTTGGTTTCATCTGACCACAACACTTTCACCCAGTTCTCCTCTGAATCATTAAGATGTTCACTGACAAACTTCAGACGAGCCTGTACATGTGCTTTCTTAAGCAGGGGGACCTTGCAGGTACTGCAAGATTTCAATTCTTCACAGCATAGTGTGTTACCAATTGTTTTCTTTGTGACTAAGGTCCCAGCTGCTTTGAGATCATTGACAAGATCCTCCCGTGTAGTTCTGGGCTGATTCCTCACTGTTCTCATGATCATTGAAACTCCATGAGGTGAGATTTTGCATGGAGCCCCAGACCGAAGGAGATTGACAGTTATTTTGTATTTCTTCCATTTGAGAATAATCACACCAGCTGTTGTCACCTTCTCACCAAGCTGCTTGGCAATAATCTTGTATCCATTCCAGTCTTGTGTAGGTCTACAATCTTGTCCCTGACATCCTTGAACAGCTCTTTAGTCTTGGCCATGGTGGAGAGTTTGGAATCTCATTGACTGATTGCTTCTGTGGACAGGTGTCTTTTATACAGGTAACAAGCTGAGATTAGGAGCACTCCTTTTAAGAGACTGCTCCTAACCTCAGCTCGTTATCTGTATAAAAGAAACCTGGGAGCCAGAAATCTTGCTGATTGACAAGGGATCAAATACTTATTTCACTCATTAAAATGCAAATCAATTTAAAACTTTTTTGAAATGTGTTTTTCTGGATTTTTTTGTTATTCTGTCTCTCACTATTAAAATAAACCTACCATTAAAATTATAGACTGATCATTTCTTTGTCAGTGGGCAAACATACACAATCAGCAGGAGATCAAACACTTTTTTCCCTCACTGTATTAGTCCACTCAATTTCTCCCATGACACAGCCATAGAAAAAGCACAAAGCACAAAATTGGAGGAAAAATATCCAAGGATAACCATACAGAAGAATCTCAAAGGTGCTTTTTCAAAAGACAACTGGACTATGTTTTTTTTTTCCTTGAGGAAGACGTTCCTTATCCAAGAAGCTTCGTCAGTTCTGACTCAATTCTGAAGCTTTTTGGATGAGAAGCGAAACGTCTTCCTCAAGGAAAAAAAACCTAGTCCAGTTGCATTTTGAAAAAGCACCTTTGTGACAGCCATGACCTGGATGACTGAGAATCTCCATAGACATGCAGAAGATTTAACTGATGGAAAAATGGAAGACCAAACCACTGTCTTATGAATCTTAATTAAAGGAGCATGACTGAAAAAGAACTAACGTAGATGCCATCTGAATAAATATGGGAATAGCTTCGCATCCATTACATGATGCAAATTAGAAAGGAGCTAGCATTTCAATATTTACTATAAAGAAGGCTTGCATTTGATATACATCTGTTGCTGAAATTCTCTTGTAATGGCTCCATTAGATTTTCTACAATAAATTTACTATCAAGAGTTTTGAAAGTCTATACTTTCAGAGTCAGTCTGGTGCTTACAGAGAAAGGTTCTAAGGAGAGAAAAGATGAACAATCAAAAGGCTAGGTAATAGTGCTTCTCCAAAATCTACAGAGATCAAAATGAGAGCATTCTGGCTTTCTGATAGGTTTCAACAGAACTAATGGGAACCAGTCTGCCTTCTATGTTATGATGAAAATGTCTCTGTGTGAGTACATCTGGAATGATTGAAATGATTGGGGATCTCTATTCAGTAGCTGAAGAACCTTGAAAATCAATGTCTTCAAAGTAAATAGAAAGTCACTGGAATTACTATTGCCTTTTGCATCATAATTTTCCATAGCATCCAACAGGCTCAGAGAAATAAATACAGGATAAAGTGTATTGCAAGCTTGGCGATGGGACAGCTCCCTATATTCACTGCCTTGGCTCTCCCTGATAGTAACCTAACCTATCTTGGAAGCAGGACTGAAAATAGCAAGACACTGTTAGCAGGATCTGCTTCTATGCTCTTTGTGTATGTTGTGAATAAGATTTCTCACCTGCTTATGAAAGGATTGGATTTTGATGTCTGATAATTCATGTCTGAAGATGTTAAATAAGCATGTTTCATTTGGTGGAAAAATGTTTTTATAAAGCCACTTGCGCTGCCCTAAGCTTTAGCAAATTAATGTCATACCATCCATTTCTGACAGGAAATCCTGAACTGCAAACTCTTGACAATGTATTTGCCATCCTGCCAGGCAGCCATCATTTGCTGAAGCTCCCCACTATCCTAGATGAAGGCCTACAATGAACTGGCTGGCTGACAGAGTTTATGAGACTGAACTGGCCATCCATTCACTGTTGCCCTGTTGAGGTGGCAGGCTGAATTAGCCCATTCTATGGATGCTCCGCACACCAACTAGGTAGGGATAGATTAAAACTACTTAAATAAGTTCAAATATTTCTGCAAACTTACAGCAGACTTATAAGTTTAGTACTGTCATCTTGTAGGGAAGTAATGTCTTTAACACTTATTTGTAAAAAGACTTTATAAAAACACCCTTGCTAAAATAAACTGATCTGAAACTGCCGTTGAACTGTTCTTAGATTCTGCTTTACCTGTACAAAATAAATCATAGTCTCTTAAGAAATCTAAATATAAATAATCATAATTCCATCATTGGTAATATGCAGAATAAAAAACAGTCCTAGAATGAATTACGTTTGTACAATGAGACCTATTACTACTATCTGGTATTTATGATGAATTTACACACAACATACACAGTTTGAAAAACCCAGTAACCTACTGAGTGGTGCATTAATATGATCAATGGATGCTATGAGGTAGACATTGGAAAGCGAAGACAATTGTCCTAGGATTTGCTGACTTTTATCTCCTCTTAACATCTTACTGTCCAGGTTGTGGATGAGAAGATACAGTTCTGAGGAAACATCTGGCAAACAAGAAAAAAAAAAGAAAGCAATACCAATAGTCAAAGATCAAAAATAGAATATATAAATAATGGTTACAGGATTGGTGTCTGGAATGTTTGATGCTTAGGTGAAAAAAAAATGCCCCTTTTTGAAATAAAAGTTTTTCAGAACAGCTTACGGACATTTTAAAATTACAATGAAATTTAATTTACAATACATAATCCATACTAAATCTTGTTTAAATGAATAGCCTTCTTTAGTTAAACAATACTATGCATTTAATGTACTTGAACAATTGAGCTTCATGATGGCAAGTTGAAAAGGGGAAGGCCACTGATTGGGATGAAAAGCAGGGATGAACCAAGACAGAAACCCAACGATACTAGAAATCCTGTAAAGATCTTTGCTGCTTGATTTCTGCCATTGTAGGGGAGGAGGGGGACAAGGGGCTTGGGGATTCCAAACCTATTGCCAATCTGTCCTTCCAAAGCAGGAAGCTCAGCGTTATTGCAAAACCTACTGGATCAAGTCTCTCAAATTCTAACTTTTCTCTATTAAATGCAATTTAAATCACCTCGGATCATTAGTCACAATATATCAAGAATGTTTAAGGCAACAATACATAAACTTGTAGAATGACTGACCAGATAGTTTACCTTCTTTAAAACTTTTTAGGATGAAGTCCACCTGGTCCTGGGGGCTACGAAAGGTACCCATGTGATTCAATACCTCTTCTGTTATAGAATTCAAAATCTGGCACAGAACAATGGTAGGCCGTCATCTTCTTTTAATACTTTGTTTTTAAAAGATTCTTAGAAGAATTAAATACGAACTGAAAACAAACCTTTGGCCATTATATCTACTTGAATAAATTATAACATTCCTGTACTGAAAGTGAAATTATTGTAGAAACTCTCACAAAATGTAGAAATACTTTTCACATAAACATTTAATAATAAGCAAAAGACTTCATAAGCTGCAGCTTTTATGACAGCCCATTTGGAGTTCTGGGAAGAAGGTTCTAGCAAAACTACGCCCAAAAATGTTGTCAAGAAAAGTGCAGGGACTTGTAAATCATCAAGAGTCAGGGCTGACGCTATGGACAATAAGAACAAGTAGTTCCTATCCCAAAGGTACTTTTCCAAAAGGCAATTGGACTTTCTCGGCTTTTTCCTTGAAAATGCTTTGCTTCTCATCCAAGAAGCTCCTTCGATTCTGAAGGAACATTTCCAAGGAAAAAAACCAACAAAATCTTGTTTTTTGGAAAAGCACTTATGGGACAACTGTGACCTGGATGATTGAGAATCTCCACAGACAAGTAATTCCTGTGTTTCAAATTAATCCAATTTGCTCCTAAGAGCTCACTTTTCCTGTAAGTGGAATCTATAAATAAAAAGTTGCATTCAAAATAAGTCTACAACAGATTTTGGCTAGCTATATCACACAATATGCTAAACCATGGTTTAACTGTGGTTTACTAAACAAACCACAACTGACTGGATGACAAAGCACTCTAAATTACAAACAGCAAAATGTAATTTAGCACTTGTATTGTCAGAACCCAGCCATCATATTCTAGGATTAAGTGCAGAAAAGATAAGCAATTTGAGAAATGTAGTTAGTCTTCATTCAGCGATCAGTATTGGCTGCAGCAACTCAGTCGTTAAGTGAAACAGTTGCTGAATGAAACTGCAACAATGCTTACGATCTTATTTCAGCTTTCCTTTTCTTTACAGACCCGAGAAAGTCATAAATATGAGAACTGGCTGTACAGCTGACTACCTGTAATATCGTTCCATCTATACTACTGCATTTTGTAGTAAAGCTTTTGTTAACTGATCAAAGCTAGCCGTATATGTTTTTGCTTACTGATTTTATGGTGATGTTCGGGAAGAATCCATTTATCACAAGATGTACTGAATCCTGAAGAAGAGAAATACGAAATTTTTCCAACAGATCTCTTTTTGAACCTAGTCCATATAGCACAATATTGAACCCCAAGCTGTAAGAAATAAAGAAAAAAAGTCCTTGAATATGACAAAACAAAGTGCAATGCAATATGATGTACTGAAAATGCTTAGGCTGATCACAAGAACGTCTTGTTCTAAAAATGGGGTGTGTGTGTGCAAAATTTGTTGTTTTATTTCTGAGCACTACTCAACTGAAGATTTATTTTTTTAAAAAAAAGGTCCAGGATTTCAATTTATCAGTAGTATACCAGTTTTTTCTAATCAGACAAACTGTCAATTCTTTACCTATGAGCAAGTTTTCTGCTAATTGTCTATCCTGATTTTCTATCTTACGCATTTTCTTAATAGCAAAAGCTTGCCTTAAATAGGAGGGAAAAAAGATCAGTATTCTGAATATCTAATGTTTTCTACATTTAATCAAGTAAGTTGAGGTGAGTTTGCTCAGCATTGAATCTATTTCATTCTGTTTACTGTTTTGACTTTGGAAAAAGTCTCTCAGTGAATATTAAACTTCTTAGCATTACAGGTCATCGTCTACTTACCACCACAATTGAGCCCAAAATTTCCACTGCTAACCAAGACAGTTGTTTAAGTGAATTTTGCCCCATTTTACGACCTTTCTTGCCACAGTTGTTAAGTGAATTACTGCAATTGATAACATGATTGTTAAGTGAATCCGGCTTGCCCATTGACTTTGCTTGTCAGAAGTTCACAAAAGGTGACGATCACATGACGCTGGGACCCTGCAACTGTCATAAATAATATGCCAGTTGCCAAGTGTCTGAATTTTTGTCACGTAACCATGGGAATGCTGTTGTAACTTTGAACGGTCACTAAATGAATTTAGTTTTGAGTTGAGGACTACCTGTAGTTATTTTGTATAAGCTTCAGGGTTGAACTGTGAAGTCCTTGATGCTCTCTGAGTTTGGTTTGCTATTAGAAGTTTCGCCACCTAACTAGATAACATCATCAGTGTGAGCAAGTGTAGATTTTGCTCCCTGTTTATGAGCATTCGTACAGAAAGAATAGTCATTCCTTGGTAGAGGTTTGCCTACATGCACATTTCTCCCATATGTGAGCTTTCTAAAGCATTTGTTGCCCTATGAGGTTCCAATAGAAGAGAATATACGTAGCTCAGGGTTGAAATATCAGATCAGATTACAGATCAAACTCTTCAGCAAGCACACAAATGGGAGAAATTTGCATGTAGGCAAACCTCCATTAATGCCTATAAATAGAAAGCAAACCCTAAACTCATTGACACTGGTGTGGCTACCTTGTAGGATGATGAAACCTGCAAGCAAACAACCAACCTCAGAGAGCACCAAGGACTCCATGAAAGTTATTAAAAATAAAATTGCTCTGGAAGTTTATGAAGGCTCAGGATGACGCTACTAAATTAATGACAATGACTGATGATTTTGGAGGATTTTGCTTATATCTGCTTTCATCTGATTTGATGAATTTTAATTTTTACCATGGATATTTTAGTGTATTGTTACTATATATATATATTTGTTGTAAGCCACTGAGAGTCCAGTTGAAAGTGGTGTGCACAAATAGAAAAATAAATACCATTATCATAAGTCATGGCTGAAAGAAGTATTTATACTTTTTCAAATATCCATGAAATTGTGCAGGCAGTTCTAGGAAATGTTAATCATACACAATGATGAAATATTAACTATATCCAATGATCCAGTTTTATTCAACAAGATGATTTCAAAGCATAGCTGGGGTGATTTATTTCAATTTATTCTGTAGACAAACTCCTACTAAAATATAAGGGATACTTACTGCAGTTGCAACATCCATTTGTAGAAGAGGGATTCATGTTGTGTCATTAACTTGTCACGTTCAGCAGCAAAAGCAACAGGTACGTCATTCAAGAGATTTTGTAGGGATTCCTAGAGCATTTAGATTCATTGCAGAAATAAAGGGCCCATCAGTACATTTCCAATTAATGATATAATGAAAAAGTTCTTAATTAATGGAAAGGCTTTGAACAGAATGATCTTCATTATCAGACATTTCCCATTCCTTCTCCATCTCCCTGCTCAGAAAGAGCTAAGGACTAATAGAATGCAACTGAAAGTGCTTTAACTATGAAACTATGATTTGAGGCCGAGTTTCCTTTAGGACTGTATTCCTCCACCAGAATTGGCTCAACCACTTTGAGCATGCTGGGAAAAGCATGATTGCTCCATATTTTGGGAGGCCAAGGTTCAGAGTATTTTTTTTGTTATCAAACCATTCCTCTTGAATGGGCCCTTCTCAAGTTGCTTTCCGGAAATTTCTGAAAATGGAGCACATTTGGGAATTGATGCCAGATGCTCTCTGAAATGTGTGTTTGTCTATTTTTGACTACTGGTTCTTGTACTTTTCATTGTTATTGTTTTTGCTGGGAGCACTGCAGCGGAATATAAATGTGATACAGCCTTTTAAAGGCATAAAGGTGTTTCACATGAGATGCAGGCATGTGTGCAGAGAGAAGCTGCATCCTGGACTCATACATTACTCCTGTGATTCTAGCTCCATCTATGATGGATGAACACAACTTTCTGAATCCTCAGCAATCCCATTGCCAAACGAGGAATTCCAGTAGTTGGTTTACATGTAGTATTGGACTAAACTCATAGATTTGGGAACAGAATGTCTGAGATACTCTATAACCTAGAGTATTTTCTTCTGGAGTCTGTTGAACTGCTCTAGAACAGCATGGCTCAGAGAATTCTGGAATGGTATGATAAAGGGACTGGATTCAATCGATGAATTCTGCACATCCTATTCAAGTATAGAGAGAGCAGTAAGACTGCGAAAGTTGGTACAAAAAATTGAAGGAATACTATGATTTTTTTTTAAAAGTTTTACTGTATCAGGAGCCTGTAAGCTGCTTGATTGAGAACCAGTTTGGGGTAGTGTTTAAAGCATCAGATTAGAAAATGGGAGACTGTGAATTCTAGTCTTGCCTTTGAGATATTTATTTGTATCCTGCCTTTTATTATTTTTACAAATAACTTAAGGTAGCAAACATAGCCAACATTCCTCCCTCCTCCTATTTTCCTCAGAGCAACCCTGTGAGGTGAGTTGGACTGAGACAGAGTGACTGACCCCAAGGTCACCCAGCTGGCTTTTCATGGCTAGTCACTTTCTTTCAGCCTAAGAAGAAGGTAATGGTGAATCACTTTTTAAAATATTGCCAAGAAAACTGCAGGGACTCATCCAGTCAGTTGTCACATCAAAATCAACTCAGAGGGAGAAAAGAAAACAAGAAAAGGCTGCTTGATTACAACACAGATATTTTCAAAAATTTCATGAGCCAGAATTTGTAATAGATTTTAAAAAAAGGAATTTTTTCAGTTCCCATAGACATCATAGGTAAGTACAATATATGTATTTCTCTGGCAAATTCCGTGCAAGTTATTTGCCCATCCAGTTCTTTAGAATGCTTTTTTTTAATTTCAAATCTAGTTTACAGCTCTGGGATTTCCTCATAATTTTTCCATCCAAGTACTAACCAAGTCCATTCTGTTTAGCTTTTCAAGTTCAAACAAAGTGACAGCTAACTACACAGAAGATACAAAATTCTGCAGTATGTAAACTATAACTAGTGGTTTGGGATATTGTATCAATTCTGATAAAACTCTTTCTCAATACATACTATACCTGATCCAGTTTTTTTTTCTCCAACTTCTGCAGTGTTCGATCAGAAGTTAAAACTTTAGAACTGCTGTGTGCTTCAAAATACTCTTCTACCAAATTGCTCTGATAACAAATATAGACAGAAGAATAAATATTATCTTCTGGCAACATTAATTGAGGAACAAATTGACGGCTTGATTTCATAATCCAGATTCTAGAGAACTGATTAATGAAGTGCAAAACTGTACTATAGAAAACAGGATATTGAAATGAATCTAAATTTCCTCTAAGTTCATCTGCAGGTAAGCTAAACCCAATTTTTGGATGTATTTTGAAACCTAAAATTCTTGGCTTATTTGCAAGTTTATACAGTAATTAAAAATAAATATTTGGCATGTTATATTTTCACTTACAGAAATATTAAAAAAAACCTTTCCATTCCATCTTTATTGTTTTCCCATGTGTTTAATTTTAGCTTTTGTTAAACATTTTATATATACTATAGAAAAGATAGTAGAAAATACTTTGCTATAAGGATACAACTTATTTTACTTAGAGATATAATTAGGAAAGTAAACTAAGAACTTACATACTAAGTGAAACTTTGTGGAGGGCATTTAGTAAATTTGTCTCCAGAATTTAGTCAGGAGAATTAAAGCTAGATAAATTAAACTGCAACAGGACACTTTTCCAAAACTACTCAGAGGAAAAATGTATTTGACTTATTTTTGAACACAGTGAAAACTGCTTCTAAAAGACATTATATTGTACTCATTGTACCTTGGAAACAAACTGATCTCTGAGCATACTTACAGAAATATATCTCTTCAGCTTCTTAGCAGATGTTTCCTTGTTAGATGGAACAGAAGAGGTTTGGGATCTGATAGGGATTTTTGGAAGAACAGCAGATACTGAGCAAGCATCATCCCCTTCTTCAGAGGTTGAAGCAGAATAATCACTTTCACTATCAGAGCACATGTTTAAGGCTAAAAGGGAAAAAATAGTTTAGGATACAAGTAGTTCTTGGATTAGGATGGAACTGGGACCAGAATTTCCATGGCTAAGTGATGCAGTCGTAAAGTGTGATATAATGTACCCACATTGCTTAGCTTACCATCATAACCCCAAGACTGCGTGGCTCATTAAATGAGGACTTTATATGACTATGACATGGGAAGAGGCAGCAGTCCCAGGCTGATAGGCAAGAATTATTGGTGGGCTGGTTGCAAATGCTGATCACATGATCACAGGACACTGCAATTGTCATAATAGTAAGGTAGTTGCCAAGCACCCAATTCATAACCACATTATTGTGGGGACATTACAGTGGCCACAACTTTGAGGGCCAGTTATACATTCTCCTCATTCAGTACTACTGCAACTTTGAACAGTCACTTAACAAGTAGTTGTAACCCATGGGCTACCTGTAGCACTTGCTAAGAAACAAGAGTTCAATAAGGCTATTGATTTCCCATCAATTTGCGGAAGGGGATGAGGAACAGAATGCTGGACCAGATAGATTTTTAATTTGAGTCAACAGGGCTCTTATGTTCTCAGGAGTTTCTCCTTCTGCTCCTCAGATGTGAATTTTGTGGCTGTAGTTTATTTATTTTTGACTTAGTTTTCATGGAACTCAATGCAGTTGTAAATTACATTTAGCTGTAAGTGTCATAGGCAGTCAACATGTTACAGTCAGCATTGGCTTGAAGTATGATATTGTAGGATACAAAACTAATTTTCCTCATGAGACCAACGGTAATCATATTTTAGATTTAACATTAAAACATTAAGCCAGGACTGTGGAAAGCTCCTTCACTAAAAATCTCAACCTGGAACTGGAAAGCAAATTATAGGAAAAATATCTCATAATGTCACCAAATTGTGTTAGCTAGAACTACTATTTCTTACCTGTCATTCTTTTCCGAGTCCGGTAAGATAATTTTGATAATAAATCATTCCTTTTAGTCTGTTAGGAATAGCAAGTATATTAGATCCCATTCTAAAAAAAAACATGTCTAACTATTCTATTTCCTGACAAAATAACCATCTAAATGCAAAAAATAAATTTTATTTCTAATTGTAAGGTCTCCTATCTCAGTTAAAAGACAGACCAAATATTTTCAAATATATGGATGGTGTTTATATACAACACTACCTGTTAATCAAAATGGAAATCACACATGTATCTGATTTCCTTGGTACTGTGGTCCTCAACCTTTCCATCTCTGCAGACCGGCAGTGGAGACGGAAGCAATGGCAGAGGGGAGAGCGGATGGTTTCATACAAGCACCCAACACTTGTGCAAATGGAGCTTCATGCGCTCACCCACCGCTTGAGCAGCTAGGTTCCCAACAGGCCGCATCTTGATACAGGGAGTTGGGGACCCCTGCCTTAGTAGACCTTCACCTGTATTTTGGAGAGATGGGGGCTCTCCAATGCAAACCTGGCAGATGTAGTTAAATAGGAGGAAATGGGAAATCCAAATTCAACTATTGTATATAATTTTCAGAAAGATACCTTAAGACTGAATACATACTTAAAATATTTGAAAATATACTTATATCTGCAGAGTAGAAAATAATTCCAAGTTTACATCAGTCACAACTGATATTTTTAACAGCCAAAAAATTTCACTCACATCTTCTTGGTCTTTGCTTGAAGAACATTCTGAAATTAAAAATTGAGTCACAGATCAAGATTACCTATAAATATCATGGGTTTTTGCACATTTTCAAGTGTATCACAGGATTGTTTAAATGTACATTTTGGCTAAAACCAGAGATTCAGCCTAATTTAATATACGCTCCTACACATTTTTCTATCCAAGTAACAATTGTTATCAGGAATTTTTTGCCTTGATAACTCTATTGCCAAGGTCCTCCCTATATAAATTCTATGCTACTTACAGTTTATCTGAATTATAGAGATAACCCAGCCTTATAAATAATATTTCAATACATTTAGGTTTATATGCTGCTGGTTCAGACAAGGAATTTGGGAGCACAAGAATCAGCAAATCTGTAGAACCTGATATTAGCTTCTTTTGAGATGCAGCTATTAACCTATGCCATTTCTTCAACATTGGTTCCATAGTTACCTAATTATGGACACTGCAATCTATTATCACTCTGCAACTGGAAACTATGTAATAGAAATAAGACTAAAAACTGAAGTCCTTGGAATCTGTATATAAATAATCATACAGTAATATATAATAATTAGTATAGTAGGAAGTATATAATCATATATTCAGAATTCCCAAATGCCCTTTCAAGCAGTTATTGTGAACAATTTTCCTATTTTTTGTTAAATATTCACAATGAAGTGGGGCACCCACATAAATACATACATATCTTTATTATGGTCATTGACCACTATATCCAACCATCTAAAGCAGATGGAACAAAATAAAACAATTGATGATTAAATCATTAATGCAATAAAAGGGTTTCTGGCTTTAGATAGTGTAGCAAAATTTGACCATGTTCATAAACACAAAATCATACTGGTTTGATAACAAAAACTGAATTTATATGAATAATTAGAAATGCCTGGGTATTTTACTCAACACCCAGAGCTGCTGAGAATCAGGCAGCATATAAGTTTAATAAATGATAATGATTATATGAGAAATGATCAGATGGAAATGGCACCCTTATTTTGGCATTCATTTATTAAGGGACGGTACTTTTATACTCAGCATTCAATTTATTTTCCATTTTAGAACAATTGTAAGACAAATTCTGCATTTTCCAAAATGTACGTTTACAGCTAAGCAACAAATACATGCAATATAAAATACATATTCTTGTCTACCTTATTTCATTAGAATGACTTTTTTTAAAAAGCAAATTCTATAATTCCCTAGTTTAATCAAGTATCTAATATTTTAAAAACTACTAACAGAACTTACTACTGCTCATTTCTGGAGTGTTTGTTTTCTCCTCACACTTCTTCAAATTGTTTTGCTTTGCATTCTTTGCAGAGTTCTGAATTAGCTCAGAAACTTTAAAGTAAAAAAGAAATATCTAATTAAAACAGCATGCAAATATTACATAAATACTCAAAGGAGAGCATGGACACTGTATCATGTACAAATGTATTCAATATCTAAAGTTACTAGCAATAGTAAATAATATGATTCTAACACAAGAAATACGCAGGGCAACAAGGATATAGCTACCTATTTACCTACCTATGTATTTATTTGTATATATTTTACTGATCTTGATTTTCAAAGTCTTTGGTTCCCTAAGCAGTCCTTTACTTTTTAGGAGTAGTAACAAAATATCTCTTTTACAAATACTTCTTCTGGGGTGTCACCCATTTATGGATTTTTCTCTGAATTAGTGTTCACATTAAAATCACTCTGACATCAAATGGAGACGTTTTCACAAACTATTAATTGGCTTTAACTTGTGTGGCTGCCTAGTTTATATGATGCTGTTATCTTGTATTTTATTTGATTTTATCATACAAGTTTTAACTTGGATTGAATTTCCCATTTTTAAACTGTAAATCACCCAGAGCATTTTAGCTATTGGGCAGTTTAAAAAAAAAAGAGCCAGCATGCACTAGGTTTAGCTTTTAATTTTAAAACATTTCAATATTAACTATGCTGTGATACGTGCTGCATTTAGAACTTTCCAAACTTTTAGAAGCAAGCTGTCAAACTGTCAGGAATAAACGACCAGACCTGCATGTGTAGAGCTCAAACTAGGTGCTTTATTGTTGTATGCCAATTTTACAGAACTCTTCGCAGACATGTAGATTCGCCTGGGAAAGACTAGGTAAGATTGAAAGGCATTCTTGTGTTTATGTAAAGAGTCTGTGCTAATTCCTTGATTGATCCCTCTTCCAGACTGGAATGGTTGCTCTTCAGTATAAACTAACAAAAGACTAGTGTTGTGAAGTAGAGCTGTAAAGTCTCATCAGTCCAACAAAAATAACTAATTACATGTATTTTATACATATCCATGGAATCTGTTACTCACAGGACTGACAGACCTATGGATTGTGGGTTCAGAGCAGATTTAGGTTTTGTTTTTTTAAAGGAATCCATGAGAAAGCAAGCCATACAAATGTGTACTAGTACCCATATACTGTATGTAAAAGGAACAGAACATGAAACACAATACATGCCTTTCTCTGCCATCTTATTAGAGTGTTTTGGAGTTTGGAATGGAAAGACATCACCACCACTTGCGCTGGAACCATTCCTCATTGACTCTAAAAATATACGTTATCAATTAATCTTTAGAAGCAAACTTTAGAGGGAAGTGGTAAAAGCTTTATAGCAGTTCTGTGCCCAACAACAGATTATATCTTATTAGCAATATAAGCATTTATTTTTTAAGAGTGAATATGAATGTCTTATTTCTTGGTGGCATTATGTACAAAATATTGAATATTTTCATGCATAATATGAAGTAAAAATCCACATAATGTTGGCTGTTATTTCCTGAAGTACCTTGGACATCTAGGGCAGTCACGTAATCCTGTTCTTTAAAAATATCCTGGGTTTCCTCATCTGAGCTGGTCTCCAGATTTTTCATCCATTTTTTAATATCAAGTGTATGTGGAACACTTAACTTACGAACTTTAAGACCTGAAAATACAATAAGATGCTTAAGGAAAAATACATGAATGATTACAATAAATAATTTTCATAGGTCTGTTAAAACTGATCATTTTCAGGGAAGCTATACATTCTAGAAAAATAAAGCTAGATGATAAATTTTTGATAGAATGTAAAGAATACAAAATAATTGCTTTAAGAAGTAACATTATAATGTTGACATTACAAGAAGAGTCAGTTGGCAAAACTTCCTGAAGACAAAACTTTATATATCTAAGTTAAAGATAATGTGCTGTTGGGAAGTTGTATTTTTGTTATAAAGTTGCCCATATTGATGACATTAATGCCAAAGTTAACTTACTATGTTAAGATTGCTAAATAGTTCTGCAGCATTGTCTTGCTCTCACATTACAGTATATTTTTAGAGGATCAAGTGGTAATTAATTTCTCCAAGTACAGAAAAAAACCACTGCTTTTAAAATAATGTAATTAAATATTTAAGCACAACAAAAATTATTCATATTTTTGGAAATTCCAGAATTAATATTACCTTATTCTAATAATAATAAAGTAAAGCAACTAAAGATACCTGCATCCTCAGAAATATGTTTCAGAACATCTTCATCAGCCACAAATCTGACATTTAGGGCATTAATCCCCTTTATCTTTCGATTACTCATATCGAGGTATCTAAGCCAAAAAGAAAGTAAATTGATATATTCCTATCAAGGCACAAGTCTCATATAAGTTTAATTTATTATTATGAATAGCATCTAAACCTACAATGCATATTAGGTCAGGAAAAATTATATATTATTATTATTACTACCTCTAGTAGTAATTACTACTAGTAATAATAATAATATATAATTTTTCCTGACTTAATATGCATTGAAGTTTAGGTGCTATTCATAATAATAAATTAAACTGAATTTTATAAACGCTTACAAGTATATGTTTAAATAAGACATCGGATAATTTCCTTGCTGGATGTTGCTAGGCAAGAAAAACCAAATGCACAAGTACAGCATAGGTGGCACCATGCTCAATAGCAGTAACTGTGAGAGGGACCTCGGAGTCCTAGTAGACAATCACTTAAATATGAGCCAGCAGTGTGCTGCAGCTGCCAAAAAGGCCAACACAGTGCTAGGCTGCATTAACATAGGGATAGAATCAAGATCACGTGAAGTATTAATACCACTCTTCAATGCCTTGGTAAGGCCACACTTGGAATACTGAATCCAGTTTTGGTCACCACGATGTAAAAAAGATGTTGAGACTCTAGAAAGAGTACAGAGAAGAGCAACAAAGATGATTAGAGGACTGGAGGCTAAAACATATAAGGAACGGTTGCTAGAATTGGGTATGTCTAGTTTAACGAAGAGAAGGACAAGGGGGGACATGATAGCAGTATTCCAATACCTCAGGGGCTGCCATAAAGAAGAGGGAATTAAGCTATTTTCCAGAGCACCTGAAGGCAGGACAAGAAGCAACGGGTGGAAACTAATCAAGGAGAGAAGCAACCTAGAACTAAGGAGAAACTTCCTGACAGTGAGAACAATTAATCAGTGGAACAGCTTGCCTCCAGAAGCAGTAAATGCTCCAACACTGGAAGTTTTTAAGAAGAGACTGGACAGCCATTTGTCCGAAATGGTGTAGGGTTTCCTGCCCGAGCAGGGGGTTGGACTAGATGACCTCCAAGGTCCCTTCCAACTTTACTACTATTAAACTATTAATCAAGAAGGCACATGTAGAATTCTAGATAATATCCTCATAACATACCAATGGAGTAAGGCAAAACTCAGATTTGGCACATTAAAATATATAAAACTCAAAACTAGTTAACTTTGAGCAGTCAAAAATACAATAAAACAATTTGTGTAGTAGAATGAATAATTATTTGACTCACTAACATATGGGAAGACCAAGTAAGCCTGTGGTGGTAGGGCCCAACTTGGCATCCTGTGTAATCTAGAAGAAACAAGGGGAAAAAATACAATTAATAGATATCATCAAATAATCAGAAAGGTTGATTTGTCACAGCACTGAAAGTAGGGATTGAGTTTCCTTATCTGACTAAGGTATGCAAAGCTTGTAAAATTATGTTATATTTTATCTGTATATTCCAATAATTTGATATCAATAAAGAATATGAATTATATATACGCTTTTTTATGATTCTTCTTTGCCACCTAATTAAAGTTTTTGCACAAACAGTATACAATAAATGCTTACAAAATGGAGGCAGCTAAGGATAAATGCAGAATATGTAAACATATTCTATTCTTAAAACAATCTGACATTATAGCCTACCACTAAAGAGAAAGGTATGTAATTGCCATATGCTACTTTGGAGATGAAATGGCAATGATTTTGGTATTACAATACTTAATAAATTGTTCAAAAGTTATACAAAAATTCTGACTGGCTTTCACCATCAATGTAAAAAGAATGCAAACTAATGTCATCAACTGAAGCACATTTACTTGGAAAGGAACAAGGGTAGGCAGTTATATTTCTCAATAAAGAAACAGAATATGATGCTAAAGCCATCATAAGAATATAGCACAGGTAGTCCTCACTTAGGATCACAACTAAGTCCAAAATTTCTGCTGCTAAGCAAGACAGCTGTTAAGTGAATTTTGCTCTATTTTACAACCTTTCTTGCCACAGTTGTTATGTGAATCCGTGCAGTTGTTAAGTGAATCCAGCTTCACTTGTCAGAACGGTGCAAAAGGTGATCACATAACCCCCATCATAAATACCAGTTGGCAAATATCTGAATTTTGATCACGTGACTATAGGGATGCTGCAAGTGTAAAAACAGGTCTTAAGCCACTTTTTTCAGTAACTTTGAACAGTCACTAAACGAATGGTTGTAAGTCGAGGACTGTCTATAATACATTCCTTTATATACCTGTTCAAAATTAAGCCCTGCTGTGTTACATGGGACTTACTTCCAATAAGAGAAAGCAGGATTGTGGTTATCCCACTTTTCAGCAGTCATGTTCAACTAAGGAAGCCCACAATCACAGGACATCATAAAAATGAACCCCAGTAGAAATAAAAATAATTTAATCTGAATAAAGATATTATACCAATGGCTTTAAAAGAAAGGCAATCTCAGAGCAATCTCCTGTGGAATTCACACGAGCAGCCTGCAACTACCCGCGTATTCGAACTACAATTCCCAACATGCCCCACTATGGGTCGTGTCGGATCGCACCGTTGCGAGTTGTTGCTTCTGGAAGATCTTGAAGCTACACCGCTTGTGGACTTAACCGTAAACACCTTCACGTACAGCTGCAGAGTCGGAAGAAGAAAGAGTTCCCTTGATTGGGCTACTCTTAGTTTTTGTTGGTTAGCAGAGCCCGTGTTTTGTCCGTTGCCACCAAACCACAGAGAACAGGACGAGGCTCCTTTTAATTCCTCCGGTACTTGGCCGCTTAGTATTCTCTCAGGCACTTGACAAACCAGGAGAAAAGCGCCCTTCCTTAGCCTGGCACCCCCGCCTCCTTGTACCCAAAGCGCACATCTCACCGATCTCACCTCGCCTCTTTACTGAGCAACAATTGAGTGGGCACTCAATGCCTTCGGGACGTTAATTTGGGGCCGACAGTTGCGCTCTCGCTCGCGCTTTCCCCCCCCCCCCCGCCACTTCGTGCGCGGAAGTCTCAACCACGCGTCCTTAATACTGAATCGTCTTTTCCCCTCGGCCGAGCTCCGAATTGTCGCCCCCCCTCGACCCTGGCTTGCTTGCGCGCTCCACCCAGTCCCCCGCTGCTCACCAGATCACAGTACCGGAATAAACGCGAGTTTCCCGCCAGCTGCCGGACTGTGACCCACCCTCTTTCTCAGGATATCATGGACCACTCCAGGAGGCGGAACTAGCTAGTCTTCTGTTGCACTTTGGCTTCCTTCCGCGGATTCGTGATTGGTCCTCTCTACAGCCAATGGTGAACGATTCCTCCCCGGAATGCGACGAGTTAGCCGGCGGTGACGTAGCCCAAACTCTGCTCTACAGTATCAGCGGGAAGATAGAGAGCGCAGGCATGTGGAAGCCTTCGATGCGGGCGGGCAGGCGGGCGAAAGAAGATTCCTGGCGTTTGAACCACCTAAATTCAACAAATAAAAGTAGCTGGGGGCAGCTTATGTAGCAATCTTATTCACCTTTCTCAAGTCTGGATTTCCTTCTTTATTTTAGCATTATCCCAGATCCATCCTGAAAGAGAAATAGGATATAAGGGCTGTTATAAACCCAGAAACAAACAAACACTGAATCGCCTGTACAAATGAAGATGTAGGAGGCCCCGACTAGCTATAGTCACTGAAGAATATTAATTTGAATAAAGTATACAATATCTTAACTTGATAAAGAACAGATAGAAAATGTCTTGTAGAGCAGCATGAAAATACAGAGTTGGACAATTTAGTATAAGAATTTCTTCAAAAGTGACACTGTCTTTCATTAAATTATTGCTGACTTCATTTACCTCCATTGCTTCAGCAAAACCAAATAGATGAGGTTAGGTTGTCTTCAGTCTGGCCTATAAAACCAATTTATTAAAACTTGAAAACCTGGTAAATATTTAGTACAGTAATAAATCCTTCTAATATTCTAAGAAATGTATCTGAAGAATATGAGAGTAAAAAGATAAATCTTTTTAAAGTACAATAGACTAAAATCAAGAATGAAGAACTTGAACTATTTCATCTATGTTGGACCTCAGATCCAGCATGGCTATTGTTCAGGAGAAAATAGATGTAGGTCCACATCTGAAAGGTTATTTTTCTTACTCCTAAATGGTTTAGGATGGAGTTAATATTTGGCCACTGTCACTGGCAGATTAGAAGTTATCATAGGGCATCTATAGAGCATCTTCAATGCTCACCCTACACTTTTTGAAATAAGGCTTTCTGTATTGTGACATTTTAGATGATTCTAAATCTGTAAATATTTCAACCACTATTTAACCCTTTAAATATTTATATTAAATACCCTTTGAAGAGTTTGCATATTGGAATGGAGTGGAATGGAATAGAAGCCAACATGCTTGTTTTAACAATTACATCAGTAGTGTGCACTGACAATCCTCTTGCCTATTAAATTCCCAAGACATGGGAGTATTTGGAAGAGAACCAATACACAACCTGCCAATGCTTCACAGATTAAAATACTGCAGCCTATAACATGTAAACCTATTAATGTTTTGTGCCAGGTGATAATAAAGATCAGGCCCATTATTCAATTATTTTTTAGTGCAAAACAAGTATTCTGGATTGTTACATAAAATACCTACCCAAAAGAAGCATGTTTTATGAGAGGAATATATGCTGTTCATGTAAAAGTGTACTAGGGAAAATATGACAATGTGACAATTTTTCCAGAAACAGCACAATATTTATTTAAACACTTTTATATATACATATATATTCTGCATTGCAGATTAGTTTTAATTTTATACACCTGTATTTACAATGATTCAAAATATTATCTATCTCTGGCAGTTATTTACAAATTCAACACCTAACACAGTTCAACATTAACCAGATTCAGTAAGACAGTTACGATAATGGCTTACATGCACCAGTATAATGATCTTCAAAAACATGTCATCTGAGCTCTGTTAATAGTTTTTCACAGGTCCTAAATTAGGGCCCCAATGCCACAAAGACCGCATCATGTTTAACATTTCACCAGCACCAAATTTTGATTTGTTTCAAATATCATACCAACCTGCTGGTGGAATATTATCATAAATCAAGTTCTTTTGTCAAACAGATGTTCTATAAAATAAGTGGGATATTTGTTAGCTATGTTTTTTGTAAATAAGGTAAAATAGGTTACATAATGCCAAGAATAGTAAAAATCCTTCAGAGATCTTGGTTTAGTAATAAACCTTTGTATAACAGGTAATAATTGGTCAGATGGAAGGTGTGAAGAGAAAAGAAAATGATTTTGAAAGATGAGCTTATGTAACTCTTGTCAAACTAGCTAGAATCAAACATTATAAGTCAGGTTATCTGTTTACAAACGTTAAAAAATTTATACCTCCCTTCACAACCAGTAGCTTGTTAGAAATCATTCAAATCCAAGAGTAAAGTTTTAATGTGACCAAGTTAAGTGAATCATCTTGTCTTTGAGATGACCTTGCAATAAAGAGATTAATTTCAAGTTTCTACAATCTACTTTCCAATCATAAGCAACACATTCAGAAATACTAAATACTAATGAGAATACTGTAAAAAGCAATTTCAAAATGAAGGCTAGCTAACTTGTGTAAAATTTCAAACACTAATTCATTTATATATCCCTCAGAATACCTAATTGCAGATAATTGTTTAAAAAGAAAAATTTCAAATTAGTAACCATATATGTTGATCATAAATAAAAATTCAAGTGAAAACAAAATCAAAATTGATAAGCCAGTGTAAATTAAATAGGCTTTTCCCCATTATCTACTAATTTCAAGTATTTTATATGTAAAATAAAGACACTGGGTTGGGTTAAACATGATAAATTATTAACTGCATGAATTGATATTATATTATTAATGCTGGAATAGGAGTAATCTTGGTACCATTTGAAGTGAAACACCAAAAGTATTCTGTTTCTGTTTTCTAGTGCCAACAGATGCTGCAATTTTAATTGTCTAATAGTGTAATCAACTTTTAAAATTAGGAGCAGAATGCAAAATTATACAGAAATGCTTTTGTACTTACTAATATTTGTCTACTTTGCAAATTGTCTCAACATAAAACTGATGCTTCTTATTACAAATCATGGAATGACTATACATTTGGAATCGTATTTCTGGGAAGAGCAGTAAGCTAGTTTTGAATAAGTTTTCAAATTTACAATATTTACTGTAGGCTTGAATATATTTAACAAAAACAATTTAAGGGCTTTAAAAAAAGTTATGCTCCAATCATATGGTAGTTTATGGAATTCTATACTGCAGCATTGACAATTCTGACAGTAATTTAAGAAAGGATGTTGTAACTTGTACCTTTTGTATATTTCATTATATTTAAATTTTGCATATAATGGAAAAAGGGATTTGAATACATACAAATAACCAATTTTTAAATTCTCACTTGCTTTTTGAGAGAATTTGAGTTTGAATATATTATTTTCCACAAAATTTAAGTATGTTTTAAGTACAAAATATTTTGAAAATCTTACTGCACATAAAGTGAGGGTTTTAATTTTTTATTCAAAATATTATTTGATGTACTAATCAGCAGAAAACTAAGTTAGATGGACACTCAGGGTAATAGTGGTATCAAGTATTTTTTTATTAAAGCATATTTGAAATATTAAAGATAATTTATTTAAAGAGAATTAAAGAAAAGAGAATCAAACCTTTAAAGAGAAATTAATGGCTTTTTGCCTAAAAGACAGATAAAGAATAACTTAAGAATTATTTTAAATGTGTCAGAATACTATGAAAAACATCCAGGGAAACAAATGGCATTGATATTTTTGGATGCACAAAAAGCTTTTGATAATCTTAACTGGCAATTTATGTTTCATCAATTGCGAGTGATGGACTTCGGTGAAAATTTTATACGCCGGAAAATATGGTATTTTCCGGCGTATAAGACGACTTGGCATATAAGACGACCCCCGACTTCGGAGATTTGCATGGTTTAGAAAGTCGTCCTATACGCCAGAAAATACGGTAAATGCAATTCAAGCAATTTACAAGGAACAATCAGCAAAGATACTTATAAATGGAGACTATACAGATAATTTTGAGATTAGGAAGGGTACAAGACAGGGATGTCCACTGTCTCCCTTGTTATTTATTCTTACACTGGAAGTGTTGGCCAGGAACATTAGACAAGATGGGGAGATCAAAGGACTGGAGATAAAAGATCAGAAATATAAATTACAAGCTTTTGCAGATGATTTGGTTTTTTATTTTGGAGGAACCTTTGGAAACAGCCACTAAATTATTGCAGAAAATAGAGGAATTTGGAGAAGTGGCTGGGTTGAAAATAAATAGGGAAAAGACTAAAGTACTTACAAGAAATTTAACAGAAAAACAGAAAGCTCAATATGTAGAAAAAACAAATCTCCAGATAGTTAAAAAAGTTAAATACTTAGGTATTTATTTAACATCAAAATGTATAACAATAAAAGAAGATAACTATGGAAGATTATTGAATCAAAAAAAATGGATTTGGAGAAGTGGAAAAACTTTCAATTATTATTACTTGGAAGGATAGCGACTATTAAGATGAATATTCTACCCAAATTGTTATTTTTATTTCAGACAGTTCCTGTTAAACTAAGCCAGAAATTTTTTGATGACTTAAATGCAACAATAATGAGATTTATATGGCAAGGGAAAAAAGCAAGAATTAAAATTAAACTGCTACAAGAATCAAAAGACAGAGGGGGCTTTGGGCTCCCAGACTGGAGACTTTATTACCAAGCCACTATTTTGTTGTGGCTTAAAGAATGGATCACACTGAAAAATAAACAACTACTTTACTTAGAGGGACATGATTTGCAACTGGGTTGGCATGCTTTCCTTTGATACGAGAAAAACAAAGTACATAAATACTTCCAAACTCATGCCATAAGGAATGTATTACTTTCAGAGTGGGAGATAGTTAAAAACAAAATTTATATGAAAATACCTGAGTGGCTTTCCACAATGGAAGCATTTGTGTATCCGAATTTAATTAACTATGACAAACTTGTGGCCTATAAAGACATTTTAGATCAGTGGTTCTCAACCTTTTTAATGCCACGACCCCCAACCGGTCGTAAGTCGAGGACTATTCAACCGGTTGTAAGTCGAGGACTACTCAACTGGTGCAGCACCGTTTGCAGAATGGGACT